CGGCCGGTAGACTCTAAGTTGTATAAAATGGGGAAGCCTCAAAGTTCTGAAATTGATGTGATAAATCTAACCTGGCTTATATAAGGCATTATTGTACATTTTGAAACACCAGTAGTCCTGGTTATACATAGATGACCGGCACCATAGTAGAAATGTTTTGTCGTTCCCGTTCGACAAGTTGGGTATGAATGCCGCATATAACTATCATAACTATCATAACCTGACTAAAGAATTATGTATCGAGGTGGAGGGGGCTTTACGTCTTGCTAGGGGGTAGGTATCATACGAGTGCGTGACACTTTGTATGCTTTGCCCTCGCTGGAAGGGTTCATCACTCGATATGATACATTGCGAGAGGGAAGCATAAGGCTGTGATATTATAACACGAGTGAATGACTTTTCCGCATGGGCGGTGAGTTATCGAATCATATCATTCGAATATCCGTTGATCCTTACCTACTAACCCGACTCCCGAATCACTTCATTCACCCAGTCGTTCTTCCCAAGTTCTTCTCTTCTGCCCCGAGACAGGTTAAGAGTTGAGCAACCGCGAAGCTTTTCCGGCTGCAGGGTATATGATATCAATTATAGGACGTGATGAGCGGTGACTTCGGTAAATTTTCGCCAAGAGTGGAAGATCCGGCCTCGACTTTGAGGTTGATGGTGTCGGTATGATGGGTTAGTTCACTATTAGACTATATACCGTACGAACGGTACTCGATTCTAAGGAAAGTATCAGCACGGGTAGGCTCAGGATTTTTTTCATGTTTATCCCGTCAAGTGCGATGAAATCAGAACTATGCATAGGTTAGCCGGGCCATCCCTGTCGTGAGGAGTCAGGTGATGATCCTCGCTCCTCCAGACAAGACAAAGTGACCAACCATACCGTTCGGGTCTTCCTACCATACTTGACAGCCTTGATATCCACAATCGCAACCCTTCTCGGATACAATACTACCTGTTATGTTACTACTGAACTTGTATGAGTTGATAGATGAGTGGACCACTGAATGAATTGAAACAAATGTTCGGATAGGTGGATATCAGGATATTTCCGGCTACATGGATGAAATCAAGATTACATAAGCAGACCCCCCCTCTCCCCTGTGTTATATATTAAAAAAGCCTACCGTATTCGAAGTTTGAACAGTTCAAATTACAAACCAACTAATTACTCCACACGACGCTGTGCAAATTCGAGCCACTTCGCACTTAACCTCGGGAGGAAAAGGTTAGTTAGTGATATAATACTGTAAGCACAGTTCAATAGTCAATCGACCCGACAAAATCTCCCTAATACTAATCCTGTAGGGTTATAGTAAACCGGTATGATAAGTTAGTACCGTAGAGTACTTGTATTGTACAAGCAACGAATTCTCACAAACCACCCACATTCAACCTCGAACTGCTACGAGATGTTAGGAATTACCTGCGCTAACCAGCAATCTGCTTTTCTCGTGCACTTGTCGGTATTCATGCCCCTGGCTGATACTTCTACTACACTACAGGTATGATACGGGTTTATTTCTTATCGGGCCGGGGCTGCTTTCGGTCTTCCCAGGAGAGCACTTGTCATGGACGGGCCCGTCCATCTCCATTGGACCTCCGGTGAAGACCTCAAAACTATAGGCGGAGGAGGGGGCCTGAGGCACTGGAACTTATCGTCTCTTTGTTGTATACGGTTTGCACTAGTGGTTAGGTGGCTATATAATAGCTAGCCTATCATAGCTAGATCGCCTCTCCCCAGGGTCATCCTACTATTCGAATACTATAGCTAAGGGGGCCGAAGCCATCTCGGCAGGTGGGTAGAGTAAGGGTTGAAAGGCCAGCCAGTACTTGTGCTGGTATCATATCATAGGAAGGGGTGTATCACAAGGTATCTATCACGCGCTCCACTACCCGAACCAACGAACCGGAGAAGGGGAGGTTGGTTACTGCTGGCGTCTGATCCGGCGTAATCGCCCTGCGCCGTGAACATACAGTCCTCTTGAGGGAGGGCATGATTGTATCATAGCTACGGCATGGACGACCGGTGAAGAACTCTTTAGCCAAAGCACAAACAGACACCTTCCGTAGCAGTTATTTGCGCAAAAAATGAAGTAACAGATACAATACCCAAACCGTTCATTCATATCGCACCCAGCCAACCAAGCACCATATCACATGCCTCTCCCAGCAAACCCACTCAGCAAACGAACAAACAAAGCATCAAACACGTATGATACTGGGCTCTACACCAGCAAACCCCCTCCCTACCTCCCTGCCTCCCAAACCCCCCCGAGTGACAAAACGTGACCCCATCCGTCAATCCATCCACCGGAGAGCTCCCCGAGGCCATCCGGCAAACACATCCGCTGCAGACCACTCCCCCAATCCCATACCATGCCCCCCTAATTAACCCCTCACGGACCCGCAAAACCCCCCTCCCGTCGACAAATCTAGTTCGCCAACCCATCCGCCCATCCTCCCCCCCCCCACCGCCGCCGCCACCGCCCTCGCCAGATTGCTTGCTTGCTTGCTTGCTTGCGCGGTGTAAACTATTGCATCCAGATCACTTGCATGGCATGGCATGGCATGCATAGCGTGGCGCGGACGGAGTAGATGGACGGACGGGGCGGATTGCGGGGGATCAGCTGCTACCGCAGGGATGGGTGGTCCAGGGGGAGAGAAAGGTAAAACTGTGTCGGCGTGTGCGTGCCGGTCCTCAGTGCCCGAGTAGATTGCCTGCTTGCCCGCTCCCCCGGCTCAGCTGAGCTATGTTGAGCTGGATTGTGTGCGTAATCACACACACAAGTCCCTATACGTTACTTGTTCGTGCAGTAAAGTACGGGATTTTTGTGGATAGGTAGGTAATGTAGTGGTGAAAAGAAAAAAAAAAACTCGCCTCATCGTGGAATGAGCTGCTTGTTCTGTGCTGCAGATTGGTCGTGCCCTACTGTAGTTGGGCGGTGGGTACTCACATGCGTCTGCCGGCAAGCCTCTCGATCGAGTTTTTCCAATTTATTCCCTACCTTTGGGGAAAAAAAAATAAACCTCGGGTTTCGCGGGTGGTTTGCCATGCGTTGTTCTTACTTTTACAAATTTAATCATCAATTATAAGATCACGCGTGGGGTATAATACGAATAAGGCACTTGCTTCCTTGCTTAGAACAGCTCGATTCCGCTTACCTGCCCAACTCAACTTACATACAAACGGTGCAAGTCTCTTTCCTTTTTCATAGAAAAACAAACTCTACCCCCCGGGCCACCGTACTATGCGCGCCTGGGTAACACCTATTATTCCCTATTCATAAAAGAATGGTAAAGAAAATGAAAACACATAAACATAAAATATTCAAACAGCCGTTTTAAAACCCCCAGAAAACAGTCAAATGAACAGTAATTGCCTTTTTGAAGGACCCCTTCACCCTTTTTTCCCGAAACCCGAAAGAGGAAAAGAAAAGAAAAGAAAGACAAGATAGAAATCGCTAGAATTTTATAAATCAAAGGACAAAAGGAAACTTTTGCTGGCCCAACGCGGCGCTAATATTTTCCGTCTGGGAAGCGGGCCTGTAGGGCTGCCCTGCGTTGCTTCTCCTTATCCGGGTCGTAGGCTAGGAATTCATGAAGGGCTTTGCCGGCTGGCACCATTGGCAAGACAGGAACTTTCTTCTGTAAAACGTGTCAGAAGCGGGGGAAATATTAGGGAATATAGGAAGAACTTGCGTCTACAATAACCTCCAGGAGGATTGGTCCATCGTATTCCAGAATCTCCTTAATCTTGCCTGGAACATCGGCGGGATCCGAACATCGCATTGACTTCAAGCCCATAGCTTCCGCAAGCTTTACAAAGTCTGGGTTCTGCTGATGGGTCCAAGAGAACCTGTCTTCATAAAATAAACTTTGCCATTGGGTAACCATCCCTTGTTCCTCATTGTTCAACACAATGACCTTGACACCAATATTGAATTGCACAGCAGTAGACAACTCAGTAAGCGTCATGTTAATGCTGGCATCACCGTCAATATCAATGACAATAGCTTCGGGTCTCGCAACTTTAGCCCCAATAGCAGCCGGGAGACCGTATCCCATAGTCCCCAAACCGCCCGAAGTAATCATTGTACGAGGATGCCTCCACCTAAAGTGCTGAGCAGTCCACATCTGATGCTGACCAACCCCTGTAGAAATGACAACTTCCTCCTTCATGTGTGCGGTTTGCTTGTTGATCTCCTCAATAACAGTCTGAGGCTTGATCATAGAGCCGGGAGTCTCCCGCTCAAAGTCAAAAGGGTAACGCTTTTTCCAGTCATTGATCTGTGCAAACCATTCCGGACGCTCGGCCACCGGATTTACTAGGGGGATAAGGAGAGCGAGATTTTCGGCAACATCACCCTCAACAGCTTCGGTCGCTTGAACGACCTTGTTGATGTTCTTGGGCATTATTTCAAAATGGACGATGCCTCCACGGCCCTCAGAAGACGCCAGCCTGGCTTGTGGTGCGAATTCTAAGTTTTGTCGTCAGCATCCGCGATTCCAAGCGTAATGAGCAATATCCTATCACGATGAGCACTAACTTGCGATGTTTCCCGTGACACGATCATCGAATCTTGCCCCAAGAGCAATGATCAGGTCAGCCTCCTGCATCGATAAATTTGCATAGGGAGACCCGTGCATGCCCAGCATGTGCAAGCTCTTCTCATCGAGCTCGTCGAAACCTCCCAACCCCTGGAGGGTTGTAGTGACAGGAATCTTTGCCTTGTCTGCAAACACCTTCAACAACTTTGGCCCCTCTGGCCGCTCAATCACACCTTGTCCGGCGTAGACGACAGGCTTCTTTGCTACATTTACAAGCTTGGCGACCCTCCGAAGGGTAACATCAAGGTACTGCCTCCTGGCCTGCTTTGCAGCCAGGGAGGCAGCAGATGGATGAGAAGGCAAGTCACTTGCTACGGGAATAGGTCTCCGCAAAATACCGGCAGTGACATCCTTCGGCAAATCGACAAGGACAGGTCCTGGCCTCCCTGATGTGGCGATCTCAAAAGCCTCGTTTATCCGACGTGGGAGCTCCGCGACATCCTTTATCATCACGTTCCACTTGGTACAGGCACGGGAGATTCCGATAACATCGGCTTCCTGGAAGGCATCGGTGCCGATTGCGCTAGTAGGTACCTGACCGCAAAAAACCACGAGAGGAGTTCCGTCGCTAAGGGCGTCCTGTAGAGGGGTAATAACGTTCGTTGCTCCCGGGCCAGATGTAACCAAGACAACACCCGGCTTACCTGAGGCGCGTGCGTAACCCTCAGCCATATGCCCCGCACCCTGTTCATGGCGGGGCAAAATGAATTGAAAATGTTTTGACCGGTAAATAGCATCAAAAACGGGAAGGATGGCACCGCCGGGATACCCAACTGCCAGAAAGGACAGGTGGGTCAGCAAACTGAGCATATCAGAAAATTTTGCGAGAATAAAGGGAAAACATACAGATGTGCTTAACCCCATGCCGAAGCATCATCTCGTGGAAGATCTGGCCACCTGACATCCCAACAAATCTACGATAGAGCAAATTCCTGTTAGCAAATCTCGATCCGGAGAATCTGCATGAAAATTTTTGTCACTCACGAATCGTCCATTTCTTGGCCATGTTTGGACTGGAGCGAGTGCAGCGTATGTGCTGCCGGAGATGCTGTTGAGGGAGGATCTTGATTGAAGGCTGGAGAAGGAATTGGTCTTTCCCTGTATATAATAATGAGTCACGACTTAACAAACCTTAAAAACTCGAGGTTTCATGAGGTTCCCGTAGCAAACAAAACTTTCCCAGGCATCAAGAGACTTACGATGCAGAGGTAGATTGATTTCGGGGAACACTTGAAATGTTCTTACGAGCAGGGACGGCCTGATTGCGCAGATGCGGTGAGATGGCCTCGGCTGTGGGGGTTGTTGAAAAGCTCTTGCTTGGGGATCGTCGACAAAGGGTCCTCAAAGGAGCTCTGGCAGTGGATCGCAACATGGCGTTTGCGAACCGGGGAAGGCAGGAATAATTGACTCAGGAAAAAAGAAGGAAAGTAATGAGCGAATTGAAGTCTGAACTGGAGTTGGACGGACGGACTGCGGGGGGGGGAGAAGGGGGTTGTTGAAGTGGGAGATGTGGGGAGCCGGGAAGGGTCAGAAAGATGACCCTTTTTCTTTTTCTTTTTTTTTCTTGCCAGTCGTTTTTCTCTTTCACCCAGAACTCGTTTTCTCCCCTTCCCCTCGGCAATAGATTAGCGTGTCGGAACCCCTCGAACGGGCCAAGAGCGACCCTAAAAGTGATTCTGGGGGGAAGATCCAGAACGAATCCGAAATTTTCCAAGTTTTTTTCTTCCCCCTGATGCTTATTATCAGGCGCAGAAAAATTACGGCTCGGCGCACACAAGGGAACTCTGTCGTCCCAACTGACCAATCGTTCACCCCGTGGTTATGTCTCACTTGCCCTCTTTGTCTCCATTACCCGACTGCCGGTACCGTATTCCGAGAAAGAAAACCCGGCGAGGAACGTTAGACATTTGCGTACCGGTATATAAATTTCTACTGATTTTGCCGCACCGGTAGTATTTTGCAGAACCTCGCATCAACTTAGTGGAACGTTGGATTACCGGTAGTATCACTCGTACCGGTATAGCCGGCGCGCGCAAGAACATTGATACAGATCATATACGGGTTCTCCAGTATCATAGCACCGGAAGGGATATAGGAGTGCACGATACTGGCAAAGCCCCCTTGGCGCCGCGTGGCTTGCGTGCTCGTATGGTGCCGGCACCTTAGAACCTAAATCATCATGTCCCTCATGCCACTAAACAACGACGGATACTTTAACTTGCGACAGCAACACCAACAAATGGAATCTCAAAAATTCCTTCTGTATGGGTTTCCTAATAGATTATTGGAATCTATTTACAGAGTGATTTTCTTTTTATTCCTCCGGTCGGCGCTGCAGGGGGCTTCAAAGTCTGTATGATATGGAAAGGAGGACGGTGAGACTTGCGCGAGGAAAAATGTTTTTGCTGATTAATTAGCCAAGATATCAGGAGTCCCCAGCTAGCCAGACCGTGAGCCCGAGGCGAGGCGACACCTTCAGCGAGGCGCGGCTTGGCTTTCTACTGTCGTTGACCACAGGCAGCCTTTGCTGCCAAATATCGCCAAGACTTCGAACGTTCCCGTACTAGCAGAGTATGCGCAACCGGCTACAGTACTACGGTACCGGTATCACTATTTCTCGCCCCACGCACTCGTGTCTCCGGGCCAAGGATACATGGGCTTATACGAGTTGCGGTTATAAGAAGAAAGGTGCCAGTTCCCGGGGTAGGGACGCACGAGTGCTGGTACGGTATGCTGGTGCTACGAGTGCGGCCGATAAATATATTTGTCACGTGCCTTATCTAAGGACAAATCGCGGCCAAAAGGAGCACCGAAACTTTCTTATCAGACTCACGTGACGAATATACCTATCGGCCGCACTCGTACAGCAACCACAGCTACATGAATGGACTAGTGTATTAAAATAATATATTGGTACCAAGTACACGGCTCCGCCTTAAATCCATATGCGCCGTACGGCATTACGTTCCATCAGGTAAGCCAACCAAAAACAACCGGCAAAACCACAGTACATCTGGGACTGTACCACCCGCACAACTCGTAGGCAGAGGGGAAAATCCCGTACCAGGAAGTCATGGCCATTTCCCGGCCCCTCACGAACCAACAACCTTCCCAAACGCCGCAGCGGACACCCAAACAGCCCGAACCAAAGAAAGAAAAGGTGAGTCAGGGGGGGGGGGGACCGACCACTCCCAAGCCCAACAAGGTCGACTAGTGTGGTTCGGTAGACTTTTTCAAGCGGTACGGTGCCGGGCACTTGAAATCAACATAAAGTCGGAACGGTGGTGGCTTCCGAACATTTTCAACCACAACCACATCTTTCGGAAGATATAGCTTGACAGAAGTGCCCAGAAGACACTCCTCTATAATTCTATGTTTTCTGATTTTCTATCAGTGCAATATTGGTGGACATAGTAGAGTTTTGAATTACCCATGTATGGTGGTTTTCGAAGTTGATTTTGCCAAGCCCCGCTGTTTTGTGTGTATTATGTAAGTAAAATGAATTACCCATCAGGGTTGATTTCAAGTGCCCGGCACCATATTATACCAGTACGAGTGCCAGCAGTGCGCACATGGCCCAGGAGTCAAGTCAGGGGCCATGCTTAATACGCTACGACAAACCGGGCTCGGAAATTGTTCTAGAATTAGACACCGATCAGCCTGTTGAACGAACGTGAGCGCTATAAGTACTCGGGTACGGGTACCGGTACTGCACTCGAGTACTTGCGGCTCCCAAAGGCATGATATCCGGAAATTTGGGCTTGGGTTGACTCCTATCGACCGACCCCACCAACCCAACCAGAAGAATCAATACGGAATAAGAATATCGGGGGAAAAAATCCCAAAAAGTAATACGGATGTCCGAAGAACACTGTTGGAGGTTTTGAGACTCTTTTTTCACCTTCTATCCGCTCCAGATAGGCACACAATACACGGAGTAGTGTCATCGTTCGTATTCCTTAGCTATCAGCGAGATTTCCAGCTACTTGAGAATCGCATGGACAGTGCCCGTAGACAATCTCAGTCCCCGATCAAAAGAGGTCCGGTGGGAAATATCGTTACCACCAAGTATCTTCCCGTCACCATGAGATTGGCGAAAACTTTTCCTAAAAGTGGCTGCATCACGTGATCCGGGGAATTTTTTGAGTTTCTCGTTACCCTACACTGGCCCAGTGCCAGCCCCCCACAAGATACAAGAGGAGACAGGGTAATCTGCTTTGCCAAGCCCTCACGGATCCAAATCGGACCCCTGACTGAAGAATGGTTAACAGTCGATATCGAGGGAGCTTCAACTAGCAGCGGTCGCGAGACAATCCATTCCTTACTCTGACCTTGAGGCTCCACCGAGTTCTTTTGCATCTTCTGCGAGTTCGAAGCGATTGCTGGAATTCCTGGTTGATCCCGGCAAAGCATCTGGCTATACCACACACTCCTCCGGCGTCTTGGTTAAACGGAACGTGTCCTCTCGATCCGAAAGCTTACAACGACCTGAAAACATCGACAAACAGCCAACCCCCTTACAACGATTCAATCAACCCCCTCGGTTCCTGGCAAATAGGAACTACGCGCAATACGGCCTCCGCGATACCCCTTCTAAACGATATTCGGAGAAAAGAAATTGCCCTTCATGAATATCTTCCGAATCACGGGAGACCTCTCCCATCTCATATCCATCTTCATTTTACTTCACAAGATGCGTACATCGAAGGTTGGAGGGTCCCCCTATCTCCCATCCTTTGTTTGATAGATAGATATCGTGTTCGCGAGATCGATTCCATTACACTGATCGTGGCCCGCTGATGATTCTGTGTGTGCGCGATAGAGTTGCATAGGAATATCGTTCAAATCTCAAGTTTTGTATCTCATTGTTTATGTCACACGTTATCTAGGTACGGAAAATTATGTTATCTGTTGCCCAAAGAATTAAAACCCCCACGAACTTTCTTCCTCGGTGCTGGGTGGCTTTTTGTGCACCTCTCGGATCCTAAGTTTTGGTTTTTTGGACGACTGTTCTGACAAGTTGCAACGATCAAGATTTGCTATGGACCTTCCAGCACTCGGCCTACAATAGCTTGATGAAGATCATCTTCATCGCCTCGTCAGCGTACACAATTCACCTCATGTTGAATGACTTTAAGCCAACGCACGATCCAAACATTGACACGTTCAAGGTCGAGTACCTCATTGGTGGATCGGCAATCTTGGCCCTACTGTTTCCTTACAAGTGGACAACAGCAGAGGTATATTTCCGCCCACTTGATTGACTAGAACCGGACAGTGTTTCGTAACGATGGGTAGCGGCGTTGGCAGCGAACTTTTTTTTTTTTTCCCCACACACTGTTCCTGCTGCCGCCGCATACCGGCCGGTCTAGTTCCTGTAGGAGCTTTTGGGGATTTGTGAGGCTGATCGGGTGTTGCTATTTTTTTTTTCCACAATTAGGTTCTCTGGTCGTTTAGCATTTGGCTCGAAAGTGTGGCCATTCTGCCCCAGCTTTTTATGCTGCAACGGACAGGCGAGGCGGAAACGATAACAACGCATTACATTTTCGCGCTGGGCGCATACCGAGCATTGTACATCCCGAATTGGCTGTATCGGTACTTCACGGAAAGCTTCACAGATCCCATCTCCACAATAGCGGGTATTATTCAGACAATCCTCTATTCCGACTTCTTCTACATCTACTATACTAAGTACGGGTTACCCTTCCTTCTCCTGATTTTCCCGGTTTCCTCCATCCCGACCCCCACCCTGAAACAAGGCTGCCGATCATCGGTAAAATGAGGAGGGCCATTGATAGGTTAAGCTTTTGGAACAAGACTAATGGACCGTGCCGATAAACAGGGTATTGAAGGGTCGCAAGTTCGAGCTGCCAGTCTAAAATACTGCTAGATGGGTTGTACGCGCAGCTCGCTTGCCGCGTGTGCGTGTCGTGGATCCGACCGCGGGGAAGAAAATTCAGAGTTGTTCAGGATACGATATCCCTGATATATAAAGAGCGGTGGGTATAAAAAACTTTCATTGAGCTGTGGGTCTTGTTTTTTTTTTTCTTTACTTGGCCTCCTCTCTTGTTCAAATATTCTTGGCACTCTGGTCCCATGCAGCGCACCGCCTGTAATTCTTGGGTGGAGGGGTTGCTAGGGTTTGGGATGCGCCGAGAGATTTGACGGGCGAGGGCGTGGATGCATTTTGTCCTTTTATGTCCGATGGATGGCTCAGCCGGATGCGGGGAGACCGTTCATGGGAGGGCTTAAGCGGAAACGTATGGATTTGGAGCTGTGCATTTTTTATAGAGGGTTCATGGGCATTAGTGAATTAAAAAGGTTACAGCAAAAAAGCAAAAAGTGTGAAATAGAGGGTCCGTTCTTGCTTGCAGGGCTGGCGGTGCCAGCGAAGGACACCACCCAAGAGAATAATTTGGAAAAAGAAAAGGGAAGGGGAAGGGGAAGCTTAATAATCAAGGGGTTCTCTGTGCTTTACTAGCGATACCGTGCTAGTTGTTCCTCATTCGGTTTCCCGCTGCACTGCAACTTGTACAATTGTTGTTTCTTTTTATAAATACCGTTTCTTGAACCCCTTCACTCCTTTTTGAAATTCCCATCTGCACCGATTAGTCCCAGCAATTCTCACCAGTGCACAGAGCAGAGCACGAACAGTCCCAGAGAGAGAGAGAAAGATTATGTCTGCGCTTTCCCCCCTCCCCTCCCCCTCTCCCAGCCAGTCCCATCGAATACCGTATCGTATATAATACTCCACAGCCGTCCAAAAACCGGCCAATTGGGCACGATACGATATCATGATGGAATGGAAGGTAAGGAAGGGTAACGACCGCAACGATACATACATAATTATGATACAATACAATACGACGACTGTGGTTCCAAGAAGCGTTGATTTTTTTTTTTTTTCCTCCTTTCGAAACACAGGGTTACGATCCGCCAACCATGGACTGGTGATCTTGTTAATAAGGGCACTTTTTTTCCTTTTCTTTTTCTTTTTTTTCTTTCTATATATCTGTAACGGCCCAGTGGAAGGTTTCTTTCTTTCTTTCCTTTCCTTTTTTTTTTTTATGGCGGGGGGGGAGGGAAGGGTTCCATTGGAATCGGAGGAGGATGAGGAGGGGATAGGATAGGATAGGATAGGATACTTGGGATTTTGGTATCGTCCGGGTATTTCATTGTAACTGTACGATATCGTCCAAGATTAATGTGGAGTTTGTCAGGTGTACTGTACTGTGCTAGTATCATATCATACAAGTATAGCATCATACGAGATAGGGTACCGCAGCGTAGACTAGGAATTGTGGCAGAATAATAACACCGTAGACCAGGAAATCTCTTCTTGGTATGGTACGATATGATAAGACATCGTCTGATATATAAAGCTGTGGTTTTAGAGCTCGCCGTAACTCTTTCTACCTATCTATCTATCCATCTATATATATATATATAGTAGTACAGTAATAGAAATAGCAATAGTAATACACAATAAATACCCGTATGGGGGTAACGGGTAGTATACTAGTATACAAGTATGATACCTAAAGTTACAACAATTAAGTACGATAGGTAAGGTTATCATCATTTTTACACCATCGTTATCACCCGGAAAAGTATTCCTGATACCAGAAAGAGAAAAAAGGAAAAATGAAGGATTAGAAAAAAAAAAAAAAAATTTAACGGTAGAGTATATTATGGTATGCACAGCACTACGGTCCCGCCGTGAGAATATTGATATGCGCAATGATAGTAGTAGTAATAATAATAATAATAATGGAAACTATGTATGTGTGGTGTATGTATGTGCACGGTTCATCCTATCTATCTTCCCCACCACAATTGCTATACGTTATTATGATACTCGCAACCAGACTGCCCATCCCATCCGGGAAATAGGGGAGGAAGAACTCCTCCCCCCCCCCAAAAAAAATACCCCACTATGATAATCACCACCCAGACTAAAAGGAGCAAGGGCGACGACGACGGCGACAAAAGACAACGACAACAACGACGATGAAACCATAGGGCTGTCAGAGAGGGAAGGACAGCTAGCTACCGTAGCCCTAACGCAGGTCAGGACGACCGATATCCAAGTAGGCACCCACCCATTCACTCACTCACTCACTCACTCTTAAAACTATGATATGATACCAGCATCTCTCCCTCTCTGCACACACACACACACACACACAACTTCATTTGCAAACCTGTTAACCCCCCCCCCCAATCCCCCGTTGTCGTCGACAAACTGATGCCCAGACCTTAAGGGCCCATAACCCAGGGGTCTCGACCTGCTGAGCTGTTTGAGATTTTTTTTTTCTTTACCCTTTTTCAACCCTACCACATAAGTTCGTGCCCACACAACCCTATTCCCTTTCTTTCTTTCTACCCTTACCCATCCATCCATCCATTTATTTATCTATTCATTCGTTCGTCCAATCTATCCATCTCTGGGCGCAACTTCACACAACCTGCCAACCCACACATCGGCCCAATTTGCAAAAATCCCAGCAGGACCACCACTACCATCAAGGCAAGAGACATACAGCGTAAGCAAAAGGCAGAAGAAAAGGAAGTGAAAGTGAAAGTGAAAGTGAAAAAAAACAAAAAAACCAGCTACTGTATCAACGAAGCATTCCTCGTTGTCGATCATGAGTTTTTTTTCTTTTTCGCCATTCAATTTGCTTTTTCCACTTCTCCCGGTGGGGGGCTCTATTCTTGCCTTAAACTTACCTTATTTCTTACTTAACATTTCTCCTCCTTCCTTTCACAATGCATCATTCGTTCTGGGGGAGGAAGGAAAAAGCAAAGAGCAGGTTTGAGATATGCAGTGTCGCCTCGATCTGGGGATTGTAATTGTGGGTGAGCGGATGGAGGATGGATGGATGGACGTTGTTGTTGCAGGAGTACCGGCAGTAAATCTTTTTCCCCTTTCACTATTTTTTCGCTCTCCATTGGCTTGGGGTCTTGATTTTCTTTTTCACTTTTTTCCTTCTTTTTTTCCTCTTGAAACCTTTCGTGGGGTAAGGGATTTGACGAACGATTGATCGGTTGATTGACGGATGGGTGGCATGGCATGGCATATTTGGCATGTCTTGCTGGGGGGATTATCGTATCCATGGATACAAACGAGGGAAGGAAAAAGTGCGGATGGAAAGAAGAAAGGAAGGGAGGGAGGGAGAAGGGGGAAAATCCAAAAAATCCAAAGGGATTGAATTAGACTTTGTAAGAACTAACCCAACATAGCCTAACCCAATGCTACGACACTCGGGAGGGGAAAGAAGGATTGAGGGATTGGAGTGCTATCTGCTTTGTAAGGAGTCGGGACTGTTTGAGAAGTAGCTGCCGGATGAAGTGGGACAACGGGGATCCCCTTATTGGCTCATGGGGGAGGGGGGTGGCAAGGCTCGGGGGAAAGAGAAGAAGGAAGAAATATTCCTCCAAGGGTTAGCAATTCCGGTGGTCTGCTGCGAGTTGTCCGTGGATGAGGAGCCTGCTCGAGTATGGTGGATAGATGTTGATGTTTTGTATATGTAGGCTGGCATGGAACTGCATATACTCGAGTACGAGTACACTGCGAGTACCGCGCACTGGACTCTCGGCAGGATACGAATCAGTCCGGGAATGGGAAACTTATGCGTGGGAAATTACTCCGAGTATCTGTGTGTAATGGGAGCGGAAAAAATGGGAGGGCGGAGTGGAAGAGGGGGGGGTGGGTATACCGAGAGCTCTCCTGTCTTTAACTTCTACAGTACGATGCCAATACGTACTCTAAAACCCATGCGGTAGGTGAGCCTTGTGGGGGGGATATGTTTTTTTTTTCTTTCGGTCAAGGGAGGGGGGGGTAGGGGAGACGCTTTTTTTGTTTTTTTGGGTGTGTTTTCCCTTTCTCAGCTCTTTCAACTTAGGAAAACGAATCGGGAGAGGAGTTCAAGGGAAACCCCCCGATATCGGAGGTGAACGGGTTACGAGACGGGGGTGAAGATTTTTCATTGACCTATCTGTCCCCATTTCCGGGCCGTTCTTCTGCTTTTTTTTTTTCCGATGTTTCCTGCTTTGTTTTCCATTGCACTCCCCCCCCCCCCCGTTCCCTGTCTCTTCCGAACGATCGAATCATTGGGTGCGTACCATTCCGAATCTTTGGCCCTTCCAAGATCTGGGAGATAGTCAAGACCTGCGTGGGGTCATTCGTAATTGTGTGGGGAGATGCAGCGGAATTCAAGGCAAGAAAAGGAAAAAGAAAAAGGGAAGGAAAGGGAAAAAGAAATCAATCAGGGGGGTTTATGGAAGTGGTGGTGTCTTGAGATGGAATACCGGTATCGGTGGAGAACAAGAACAACAAAGCGATCGGGAATGGAACGGCATTAAGGACCTAAGAGGAGATAGAGAGAGAAGGAAACGATGCCGCTATCCAAGGTGGAGCTGAACGTATTACAGTACTGGAATATGGAGACATTCTTAACCTGCAGAAGAGAGGGAGGATGCCATCCCGGAGAGCGAGAAAGGGACTTCCTCGGCCTCAGCTCTCGGGGGGGAAGCAAAAGATCAATTGCAGTAGAGTCGGCTGCACTAGAGTACGGTAGTCGTACTCAGCATGTAACCACGATCTGCTAGTCTACGAATATTGAACAGTTTCACTCAACGTTGCTGGAGCCCCTAAGGTGGGCTCTCCTCACCTCACCTGTTCGTCTTACCGGGCCTTTGATCTCTAGATGCTTCTAATATGCTCGAGCCAAGTGGTCTGCTGCTATGCTGCACCCGGAATACTAGTATATGTATAGAATGGGTGTACGTGTGAGGTTTATGATAGCCCTTCACAATATTATTGTGAAGGATAACCCATTTCTGCGTCGGAATGGTGGATCCAGGGCCCGGGTTTGGGGGGCGGTATTGGACGAGCAATTTTGGCAGGGTCGTACCCTTGGAAGACGGGATTTATGGGATTTCCTCGTGTCCTATCCCCATCACACCGCGATAGTGTTTTTGTGGGGCACGATGGAATCCTTATGCGACGGATTGCCCTTGTCAGAGAGTATGAACTGTATGCCTTTCTTTATCGATAAAGGAGAGACGAGGAAGGTTCGGAGCGAGTTGGCTAGGCGGGCAAGCACCCTATCGCATGGAGTGCATGAAACATGGTCTGCTTATCGATTGCCGCCAGGGAGCTCCGAGCCACTGGCTGGCTCGCTACGGGCAGAGTCAGCCATAGCGCAGAAAATGCTTGTCTCAGTACCAGCACCGCACTCATTGCTCTACAATACGGTGCAGACCCTCTCTATTGAGCACATGAAATTTCACCACCATACTGCACTCGAGCGCATACCAGCACGGATACCCGGTGAAGCGCAGCCTGGAGTACCGTACAGTACATCCTGAAGAACATTTACGGAGGTTTTATCTTCTCGCTCTTATATTGTACCGGTATGGGTATGGATATCGTGGTAGCAATTATTTGCACCCACACCCCCACCCGAGCGCGGGTGTTCTCCACCAAGCGAACAATCGCCTTGGCCAATTAAGGCTCGATCCGTGCCCCGGACCGCAGGACGCCAAAAGGGCCACAGACACAGCAACGGCTCTTGCATGCTTGGGCACAGGTCCAGAGCCCGCGAGGACCACCATACACATCTTTTCTCTCTGTCTCTCTCGCACACACATCTCTTTCCCCTGTCGCTGCTGCTTTGCCTGCCCACCATCACCGGCACGCACCTGCTCCAGCAGCTCGACTGCCTCCTTCCCGTGGGGCCAAGACAGCAGCACAAGCGCACGCATGCACACACCCACGCACGAGCACCCAAGGGCGAATTCAGAACTGTCCCACACTTCCAACGCAGCTTCCTACCGTAGGAGGTCCACCGGTACCCTACTGTAGCTCCAGGCTCTTACGGATACGGTCCCGGCATGGTACCATAGACAGCTATATCCTCGAGTACATTCACTGGCTTGGCTTCCGACCCCCATCCGCCGAACCAACAATTGGTAGTATGCACTCCCCTACTCACCCATTATCGCACGGTTTTACCACGATACCTCTGCGCTGCGCTCCTCCTGCTCCCGCTGCAGAAGCTCTCTCCCCGCTGCCATTTCCCCCCCTTCTTCCTCTCTACTCGGGCACTTCTTGCCCTGTGTCTGGCCTATTCGCGCCTGTCGTGCAACAGGGAGGCCTCCGACTCCAACGCGCGCCTTTTCTGTCCCTACCCAATTTGCTCCCTTCCTCCCACCTCTTCTCCAGGACCCACGACCCATACCGGTACTCCCACCATCCCATACAAGTACAACCCAGAATCAACTAAACTACTACCGGTACCACCACCACTACCACACACACACACACACACACCACATATTCCTCCACCCCCGGTCCCCTCCACCCCTGCCTGCCTTAGCTGTCTTCCCTCTTCAACAGGAAGGCAAAAAGAAAAAATAATAATAATATATTATTCAACCCCCATACCATACAAGTACTATCAACCTCCAAAGAGAAGAGGGAAAATAAAATAGAATAAAATAAATAGAATAAAGCGAAGTGCCCCCTTTTGCATTGGCTTCGGGAATTTAAAAATAATTTACGCTACGCTCGGTCTCCGATCATCGCCCATCACCGTTCCCCTATCGTTTTGGTATCGATAGCACTATCTGCATCCAAGTTTATTATTACTAGCCCATCCTTTCTTCCTCACGCTTTCTCCTATCACTCTCTCCCTCTCTCCCTCTCTCCCTCTCTCCTCCCTCTTCACCCACCGGTCTTACCTTCCACGCCGCACTCGTTTAATATCCACCTCGATTCCCACCTCATTCTTTCACTCCCCTCCCATCTTTCAACTTGCTCTTCCAACCCTATAAGAAGAATAAAGAGTTCCACCAGGGCAAAGATCACCCAGGCTCTGCGATATTCAGCTTCCATCCCTTCGCTCGTTGCTGCTTCAATCCCACTACCCTCAACTTCTTACTGCTCCTGCCCTTACCTCTTTAAATATCTCTGGACAATCCTCCCTTCCTCCTCCCCGTCTACCGATCATCCTTCGTCCAAGACGATCCGTGTCCCTTCGGCAGCCATCCTCGAACGCCTTCCCATATCTGAGATTTCCTTCTCAATCGGCCGGTCCTACGCTCGTTTCTCACCCCCTCAACACCAGCAGCCATGATGAACACTCAGGCAATGGCGCCGCAGTCAGCGATGGTCGAACACCATCGTTTAGCTAGAGATGCCTTTCCATACCCAGCAGGATTTGTCCTACATTACGCATCACAGCTATCACCCCCCCGCGCTGGATCCGGGGGTCTCTCTCTGTCCGGCTCCGATCCCATTCGTACTCACCATCACCACCAGCGCCAGCACCACCACCACCACCACCACCACCAGCCGCAGCAACATCACCACCAGCACCAACTTCACCAGCAACACCAGCAGCAGGAACACCAACTTGCGACTGCGTTAGCAAACTCGAGTCCTAAGCAACAGCAACTGCCTTCCCCCGCATCCGAGATGGGCAATGCCTTCGAGGATACCCCCGCTAGCCTGGAGGGGTTCCCCACTCAAGCGGAATTCGAGAACCTTCTCAACGAGTACATTCTTTCGCTCTCCCCCAAGAAGAGGGACAAGGCCCTTATCCCTCAAAAACGCTATGACAACATTCTAGCCGTCCTCCGTGATCCCAAGTGCACAACCATTGAGTCCGCTCAGTTTAGGTTCTGGGCAAAGAAGATGTTCCGCTTGGTGCCTGACGATGACAACGTTGGCGTTGTTTGCCATGAGGGCAAGCCGGTGGCCGTGAGAGAGCAGCTTTACCATGTACTGACATCCTCTCACGGACAGGCCCAACATGGTGGACGTGACAAGACGTCGGCTCAAGTTCGCAAATATTTCTCCTGGTACGTTAATGGAAAATCAAAAGCCCTCTCTTTTATTACTGCGCAAGCAAGCACGTCAAGTTCCATGGTAAAATTCTTAAGAACGGAGGTGCCTACCGCTCTCCTGTGCCCTTCCTTTCCGGTGAAGTAAGAGGAAAGAAGAACAAGCATAGATGAACACAGCTCCCTTTCAAAGTCTCCCCCTACTAAGCCTCTCTTCTCCCCATCCCGTCATATTTTCCCAGCGAAGAAAGAAAAGAAAAAAAAAGCCCAGACACCACTCTGTAGTAAGCCCAGGCTAACATTTTGGCTTTTTCTTCGCAATCAGGGTCCCCAAGGAGCTCATTGCCCGTTTCGTCCGAAATTGCCCCAGTTGCACTCTCCGGCGCAGTAACCCCTTGGAATACTCTGTAGCAAACAGTGCTCGCCAAGCAATTGATACTACCCCCACATACATCACCTCCTCCGCCAGTTCTTCCCAACGATCATCCATGAGCTCCATGAGCTCACCGATGACCACCATGCCTCCCAGTCACCAGGTAGTGGCTCAGTTGGCCCTGGTTTCCTCTCCACCCCCCTCGAACCTCGTTCCCGCCACCGCAAACTCTCATACCTACTCCTACTCCTTCCCCGAAATGCCTCTTGACCCACGCATGTACGGTCCTAGCGACTTATCCAACTGAAGGAGCGGACGGCATTACTAGAGCCTTGCAGCGCCGTGCAGCGGGTGAAGGAGGGGGGAGGCGGCGACAGCAGACGGACATGGAGAGAGATAAACGAAAAACCTCTTTTTAAAATACAAAAAATAACAAATGGACTAATTGCTTCCAAGTTTTTCATGGGATCACGTTTGTATGGAATCTTTTTTACTGGGGTCATCCGGGGTCTGTTGATTCTCTTTTTTTCTATTTTCCACGAAATGGCCTGACATTTCTTGCTTTTGGGGTTTACATTATCTTGGTCCGCAACTTTTTCTTTTTTTTTCTTCTTTTTCTACTCGGGGGAACAAAAAAAAAAGCTCCGTACAGCGGGGAAGGAGAAGGAAGGGCGGTCGGTCGGTGGTGGGGGTGGGTAGCGGTGGAGGTAGTTCAGAAAAATACTTTCTTGTCTTTACTTTTGTCGAAATAGGTTTCCCCCCCGCCAAGGTTTACCGTGATTTTCATTTCATTTCCCTTTCGCATTCTTCTCACTTGCATTGGGATTTCTCGTGCTTGGTCTCTTTTCTTTTCTCGGCCGCTTGGGGCCGTCGTCCTCGCCAGCGGAGCCAGGCAGTCCATTGGAGAATACGGGCTAAGGGTTACTAATACTAAGCTTTCGTGTAGTATTCGTTTTTCTTCTCTAATCTCTATATTCCCTCTATCCTTCAGTCCTATCACCCTTTCCCATTCTATCTTTCGTTCCCCTATGTACATATATTCCGACCGCCGAAATATGCCTTTTGATGTTTCTGTGAAATTTTCCAAGAGAAAAAAACGTCCACGTTGCCTTGTTACCATATGAAAGGGATCGAATCCAGATGGGTGTGTGAGTGAGCTTTTTTGCTGATAGTGGGGTAAGAAGGGGGCGGGGGGAGGATTCGACGAAGGGGTAACTTAATCCTGAGGTAACCCCCCCCCCCCCCGGCCCGTCCCCCACAGAAGTTACGATAGGATGCGAGCACCATACCAAGCTCTGATACAGCGAAGCTATCCGTTTCAGCCTTACTAACTACAAGAACTGGCCTCGAGAACAGACAATTCATGCCCGCGCCATGCAAGCTAGTGACTGAAACAGTGAGTTGTTTCTTATCGGAAGCTTGAATAGAGAGAACACCTCCCTTTAGGCTACCATCGCCCAACCGCCAATCCATTGTTTGTTTTCTCCCCTCCCCCCGTCAAGCTTGGGGGTGCCTGGATGGAGCATAGGATGCTGGCCGACGGCCGGCGCCAAATGTGGCTGAAGGGAAAAAATGGTTACGAGTAAATGCTCACTACTCACTTAATTCACTACACTGCCGGTATCTCCCTGCCACATCTCTTTCCCATCCATCCATCCTAACCAACAGCAATGATTGCGGCGATATATTTCGCACGTTCTGGACCCCTACCCAGCGTGCGTGCCGGTTGGATTGGGATTGCACAATTTTCCATTGAGGGTGTGCTGAGGCTGTGGAGAGGAAATACCTGTCTACACACACACGTATCATACCATTTGGCTTGCCGGCTTCGGACCCACACGGGGGAGGCATACTGGTATGGGCCCGCATATCTTATTTCTTTTTTTCTTTTTTCTCCCGAAAAAAAGTCGTGGTGAGGTGGAAAAAGGTACGAGTTTTGATATTGACTGGACTGACTGGTTGGCCAGTTGGTTTGGGGTGGTTGGTTTGGGAAGTTATTTTTTTATAATATTATTCGATGCTTTTTTAGGGTCCTTTTTTTCTTGGCGTGGAGCATACTGTGCCCCGGTACTGGTGCGCAAGTAACTTAGCGGTATGTACGAGCACAGCATAGGAATTTGAAATGCTGTTGACATGGTTAGGGCGGGAGGGATTTTTTTTTAGAGTTTTTTTGGGGGAATGAGGAGGAATTGGAAGAAGGTGAAGAAGGCAGACGGAAGGGAGGGAGGGGGTAAGTTGGGTTTCTCATATGATATACTGGAGAGAAATGTGAGAGAAATGTGTATAAATCCCCCTCCCTCGTTCTTTTACTTGATCACTTGTCGCTACCGCTACCGCTACTACTGATAACCCCCCATTGCTGCTGCTATGGCGCCGCTACGGGGGTGACACTCTTCTCGATGAGTTTTCCGGGGGTTTGGTGGGGGAGAAGGAAGACAAAGGAACTTATGGGACCTTGCATTTTTTGCTCCTGGCTTTTACGATCCCTTTACTTTTTTCTTTTTTACCCTGCTAGGAGCTAAGCTAAGCTATAGCTCCTCCTACTACTACTGCTCCTCCACACATCCTTAGTCTGCGTAGCAGACCGCCCATCACAAAACGACGAGGGGCATCCGGGCAGGGAAAGGAAAACTGTGAGAATGGATCGGAATTAGGAAGAGGGGCGAGACTTATTATTAGATAAGATATGCCACGACGGGGCGGGGGAGAAGGATCAACCTCTCACACTCACGCCTCTATCCACATAAAAAACTTGCGGACCTCCATGCAAACACCTCACTCACTCGCCCTACTTCATTCACTACTCACTCACTCGAGCATCGACAACCCACACTTCCATCAACATCACCTCACCATCTCACCACCTCATCTACCTACCTCTCACCACCACGACAACCCCGATAATTGCCCTGACCTCCCTCCCTCCCTCCCACCTTCCCTAAGGCAGGAGGGGGACCCCCCCCCCCAAATCCACATCATCAAAAAATAAAAATGTCCCAAAGGTAATCACAGCATCTGCGCCCGATCGATCAAATCGCCGAATCGAACGAACGAGATGAAAGTACGAGCGAGCGAGTTTAACAGCAACGACAACGACAACTACTTAATCCGACCTAACCTAACGCGATTTGACTAACTAGCAAAGCTAAGCCAACTCTTTCCTTTCCCTTTCTCTTGCTTGATTCCCTCCTTCACTTTATCGGCACCCTCCCCTTCCGCTCGGACAATCCCGCGATTGGCTTACCCCCTCCCCCCGTCCTAGGCTTTCGCCTTCCAGAGGCGAGGCGAGGTGAGTGAAGTGAATAAGTGAGTTGGGGAAGAAGGGGGGGGGGGGTAAGGGAGGGAGGGAAGTGGATTGATGGAAGTGGATTGAGGGTAGGTAGAGCGCGAACACATTCTTGTTTCGAATATCTCGGGGGAACCGGGGGGCAAGTGAGCTGCTTTTGCTCTCATCTACCCTTCCAGAAGCCGTATCAGCAGCCGCAAACTAATCTAGACATACGCGAAGCCAGACCAATCCCAAATAATTAAAACCGCACAGGTTAAAAGACATAAATGGGGGAATTTTTTTTTTACAATCGCGGAAGAAACCAACAACCCCCCCCCCCCGTCCCCTTTCCCCTGCGCTGTAGGCAATTCCACCGAAATCGAGGAATTGACGTTGGATCATTGATTACCAGGGAACTCAACCCCCCCCCCCCCACCCCAAGGAAAAAAAACACTCTTTTCTTTCTCCCCCACAGAATGAGTGCGTGGGGGTCTCTTTTTCGCTACGGTAGTGGTTACCCTGCCCTGCATACCTCTACGAGTACGGTACTATCGGAGAAGAGAAGAAAAATTTCGCGTGGGGGGAGAAACAATCTCCATATTGATTTATTCCTATCATACCCTTCAATTAATGGTGTGCCGGCAATACTCCTACTATCAGGATACTCGTACCGTAGTAGATTTCCGTTCGGATCTGAAGTTTGGTCGATATCTGGATTGTTTGTAGTGCTTGCGGACATGCAGGTTGTTACTCCAGGGTTAGGGGTTCTTTTCTTTTTCTCCCTTTCCGCGAACTGCGGGAGAGCTAGAATTGGGAAGCCGTTTCTTTTTTTTTTCTTTTTCTTCCGCTGCATGGGATGGTTGCGCTCTTGTTGCGTATATAGCGTGCGCGCCAAGTGTTTACCCCAATTTACTACGGTACCACATTTACCATGTACTAGGGTAAGGGTAATAACCACGATAAGTGTCCTGTACTGGAGCAATTGTATAGTACCCGTTCCCACCCGCCTTTTTAATACTTGCTGTTTGGTATATATGGTGCTTCGGTTTACCGATAACAGTTTTGGTCTTTTTTTCTTTTTTTTCTTTCTTTCTTTCTTTCTTTCTTTCTTTCCTTCCTTCCTTCCTTCCCTCCGAAAGGTGGGTTGTTATTGTTATCGCTCCCGAGGGGAATTATACGAGCACTGTACCGTACACATTCGCGGTCTTGGAGATTGAGCTGATTATCTCCGCTGTTGGTACGATACCCCACTAGTCAGTGAAGGGTATACAAGAAACCGGCACAGCACAGCGCGGCAAACACACTACGGTACGAGTACAGTACTCGTACCGTACAATAGGGTGGGTGGATACGCATAATAGGTATGATAGGTAGGTAGGTAGAATAGTATGTTTAATTAACCAATCACCCCCCGTATCCGAACACTAACTTGAGCCCGATATTGAAATATTTTTTGTTTGACCGCACGAGGGGAGTTACTGTACTGTGCTTTTCCTGTAGTAATAGTAATGCTGAATGAACACTCGTACCTAACCTACCCTACATACCCTCCTATATAATATAATAGTAACAACCGTATCACCTACTGTACAAGTCATCCGTTATCCCGAAAAGTTCACATGACGATTAGTTATCTATTCCATTCCATCCATCCACAGTGAAAACAAAAAAAAACAGCATCCTCTCTCCTTCACGGACTTGCTTACCTACTTACTTACTTAACTTTTCTTTTTCTTTTTTGTTTTCCACCCACTCACTCACCCACCGATCGGATCGAATCGAATCGAACCGAAAATGGGGATCGAGACCGGGATCGGTGGGGGGTACTTTTTTTTTTTTTGTCAGCCAGTTCTGGCCGGTCCTGTCCTGTTAAAAAAAGGCTTGGATCGGAAGGGGGGGAAAGAAACGGGGTAAAATGAAATCAAAATAAGAATGAAATAGAATGGTAGTTTGGTGATCGTTAAGAGTGAGAGGCTGGAGGGTTTACGGTACTGTACTCGTCTAGTACGGTGTATGCTAGTACTTGTACTGTACTCTGCTCGGGTGGGACTGTACCGTACTGTACAGTACAATACCATCGTTAGATACAGTACCGTACTAGAATCACCTAAAGCAGTTACAGTCACAGCACTCATTATTCAATGGTAATTTATCATAGATATCGTAGACTACCATAACAAATCCCTAACCCAGAACCAAAACAAAAACAAAAAACAAAAACAAAAACAAAAAAACAAAGAAAAAAAGAAAAAAAGAAAAAAAACATGTGGTAAATCCCATCCCATCATCCCATCCCATCCCATTCCATTCCACCCACCCCCCAAAAAACAAAAACAAAACAGAAACAAAAAAGAAAAGAAGAAAAAAGAAGAAAAAAAGTTCTAGACCTTACGCTTTTTCCTTCTTTACTTCTTTCTTTCCTTCCCTTCCATCCTTCCTTCCAGTACCAGGTCAGGTAGACTACTGTACGCGACCCAACATCACCTAATCACATCACACATTTCTTTCTTTCTTTCTTTCTTTTTTAAAAATGGATACGTTGTTTATATTGACCAGGTGTAAAAAGAACAGCGCAAACGACCCTTACTTACTGTGCTTTCGGGATGCACATCCGCGTGTACAGTTACAATGGTGATACCGCCTTTTCAGAAGATCGGCGGTGTGTGTGAGTGTGAGAATCCGAGAATCCGGGGATCCGGATATCGTGCTTTTTTAAACTTATTTGATTATGGTATTTGGTTTGGTTTCCCCCCCCACCCCCTCTTTCTTCTTTATTATTATACTTGTACGGGGTTTGGTGGGGTTTGTGGTACAAGTACCGGTTCAGTTGTTGTTACGAGTGTTAATTATAGGTGTGAGTTACCGTACTGTGCTCGTAGATGGATGGATCATGTGGGTTGAGAGGAGGGGGGGTGTCGGTGTCAATACGGTACGGTACTCGAGTATCATATCATAGATCGGTAGGCGCATTACTTGTATTATTATTATTATTAACTCAAGTTATGGTCTACCGGTAATCGACAGCTCGGCACGGAAACTTGCGCCCCACCATAGAGTGCGTGGCTTGGCGGTGGTTGGAAATGGTGTGTGTTCCTGTCGGGGGATTGACTGCAGATATGCACAACTAGACTAAGTTACCGGTTACGGTACTTTGCGCCCTTCCTCTCACCCTTATTCTGTTTTTTTAGGTAGACTTAGGGAACCTTGGAATGTTGGTATGCTTTACAAGGGAGATTTACTCTCAACTCCGAATATACCAAGATCCAACCAAGGCGAGAAGCAATGAAAGAATGAAAGAAAAAGAAAAAAAGACCGCGGGGAAAACCCGAATGCGCAGACAGGAGTTTAGTGAACATACAGTACTCGAGTATAATGCTGTACATACCCCCCTTCCGATTGGATACAAGGTGGGTGGAAACCTTCAACGGTACCCCCATCCCATGCACAGTGTTTTTCGTTCTACATACAGCGCCGTACGATGCTCTGCTTACCTGCTATTGTGTTCAGATGCCTCAACGCTGGCAGAATACCGAGCCAACACGCAAGCAAGTGAACATCTTTCCTTTTTCCCCCCCATCATTCATCCCCAAATAACGTTTTGCCGCACACAAAAATGAAAAAAAAAAGTTCACGCAAATCTAAGTATATGCTTGAAATCGGCCTCTTCGAACACCCTCCCCCCACCGCCTCCTGCTCCTCTCCCAATTAATCCTGGCCAACTTTTCGCCTTCCTGTCTGACGCATACCCGCCTCAGGATAGCTGACTGCCCTTTTTTTTTTTTGGTCTAAAATTTTTCAAAAGGATTACACAAAAAGTAACTGAAAGGCTGCGACCTGCATGAGTGCCAATACCCTCAACAATGCTAGTGCAGTGCTGCCAAAAAAAAAGAGGACAATCCGAACCAAATGGGTGGAAAACGGGTGGACCAAAGTAATTATTAAAAAAGGGGAGGCATAAATCGTGAGGGGTATAACAAGTAAAATCCGTCCGTTCCGCCCAGCAAAAAAGAAAAAAGGAAAAAGGAAAAAGAACAATATATACCACGCCATCCCGTGACTAGCGATCCCACCCACCCATCCATACGGTTATAGATGAGAAATAAAGTACAGTACAAGTAGAATACAAACTTTATGGAGGGGTTAGGTAGGAGCCAAGTGATAAAACATCAGCTTGGACTATTGTTGTACAAGAATCGAGAAACAAAAAGGACCAAAAGACATGAACCCAATGAGATAGGCAAAGGGAAAAATGCGGGGGGGAATGGGTATTACCGGAACACAAGGGGGGGCAATTAGCTAATTGCCTTCGCCTCCAAGGAAAGGGGGGTTGTTTCCCACTCAGAAAATTCAACCAAGCGGTTCCCTTTCCGATGACCCTTTTTTTCTTCACTCTTTCACCTCTGATCCGTCAGCAACTCCCTCAGGGCCCATCTGTTGCCTAATTTGCTCGCCTCGCCCGGGGAAATCCAGCCTTCAACTCTCCTCCGCCACCGCTCTTCCTCCTCACGCTGGCGCCTGACAAACTCGGGTCCCACATCGAACTCCTCCCCCACGACAAACTCCCCGAATCCTCCGCTCAGCCTTGTCCCGCGAGGCCCACCAACACCAGCACCACTCCCACTTCCCCCAAAGAAATTTCCCCCTCCAAATCCCTCATCCATACCCCCACTATATCGATCGATGCTGATCATGTCGTGATCCTGGAGGTCATCCAATCCCTCGAATGGGTCATGCTCCTCTTCATCGGGGTCCTCATCGACCTTGAGCCAGCACATCCTTGAGGGATCGAAAACCATACCACGAACAACTTGGATTCCCAGCTTTGAGCCATTCTGATTGACGTTGGCGATCAAGGCAGGGCGGGGCGGTGTGGGATTTTGTGTTTCGAAGCCTTTTACGTCACCCTCGTTCCCTTCCCACCTGTATGTCTTGGGGTTATATGTCATCCCGTTAACTGCGGTCACTGCGTGGCGATAACGTGACTTCGCGTTAGCCTACCAGAACCCATGGAACATCAACGCGCGGGAAAACTCGCGTTACAGATCGACAGGGGTACAGAAACAGGAAGGTAAGCGAGAAACAGGGATCGACATGGGTACTCGTAATATCGCGACGCTTGCAAAACGGACTGCTATTGCATACAGCCAAAAATTGGCCAGAGCCTCAGAGTTCCGGTGGTATGCAATAGCAGTCCGTTTTGCAAGCGTCACATTATTTGTACGAGTGAAAAAAAAGAGGAAAAAAAAAAAAAGGAACAGCAAAGGATCAACACCATGCAACAATTCGCTTGTCCTATCAGTTGCAGGCTACACTGCGAACGCACGTACCTTTAGGGAGACTGTTGACATTGCCCATTGGCTTGATAAGGTGTGGTTTCTGCTGTGGCTTCCGGCGGCTTTTTGGGCTTGCAGTGCCGCGAGCGGCAACTTGTGCTTTCCAATGGCTAATACTTGGATTGGCCCCACCCCCGGACGGTGGATGCCCAGCTCTCTGCTCGCGTGCATTCCTGGATGCTATTTTTATCATACGTAAATTAGTAATGGTAATTGAGGTTCGGGAAAATGAGTGGGGCACGAGGGAAGCAAACCATTAGTATCCCTAGCGAACCTTGGAACCTCCCCAAAGCGGTTGGTTAGGTCGATCTTCTTGGAGGGACTTTCACCATCTCTTCCGGCAACCCCATGGACAGGCACGCTCTTAGATTTTATTGCTTTGGGTGCCCCGCGGCCCGCGGGCGTGACTACAAACCGATTCTCAAGCTTGGCACTTGTCGGCAAATCATCGAAAATTTCCAGCTCCGTACCATCACCAAAATTCCTTTTCCTTGTCGGCTGGGTCAACGTTTCGATCGTCGCCGCTTCCCTCCTTAGGTGTTCCGGGGCAACTGTGGGTGTTGCTCTTTTTGTCTTCACCGATGCGATGGATGAGGATGGTGAGTGGCGTGGTGTTCGCTGCTGTAGGCGACTATTTGTACGTCTTTCAACTGCAATGGACTCTTTGTAGTCGAATGTTTGCCGAGAACGCTTCGCCGAAATATGCTGGCTCTGCTTCACCGAACTCCCGGCTGGCAAAAAGGGCACCGACGGTTTTCTTCCAGCTCCGATATCCATCCTATCGCCGGAAGCCTTTGATCTCGAGGATTCATTGCGACTGGCCGGTCTACCTGCACTGCTGCGCGATGGGGGTCGACCAGTGCTGCTCGGCGGTCTGCCAGTACCTCCACTGCTGGGAGGTCTACCCTGACTGTTACTGCTCGGAGGCCTACTCGCACTACTGCGACTTGGGGGCCTTGGTTGTTTGGCTGGGGTTGATGCTGCAGCGCGACCGATGTTAGGCATTGAACGCTTCATCCTCAACAACTGGGCATTGGTTGTCGTACTGGTGTTTGAAACATTTTCCCGATTAGACCCTTTCAACGTCCGCAACGACTGTTTCCCCCCCAAAGCCCTCTGTCTTTCCGTATATGTACGGGAGTGCGGTATAGGTGGGGGAGGAGGGATGTTCAATCCGAATGCGTCCTTTCCGGACCATTTCGATTCACTGATTGAAGTTCCGCTGGACCATCGGTTACGGTTATCCGGTCGTTTCGAAACCACTGCGGGTTGGTTTTCTCTCTCAGCCACAGGCTCCAATATGGGAATTGGCGGTGCCAGTGTTGGATGGCCGAGAAGCAGTCTATTACTTCTTGACCCTATTCCGGCAGAGGGTGTGCTCGTCGTCGCTGATTTGTTTGTTGTGAAAGTCAAGCTCATTGCAGATCTCCTGACGGGGCTTGTTTTCCTTGTGGGGGGCTTGTGCTTAACGTTCCGGTTTAACGTTAATTTTTTCGAGTCAAATACTTCCTCTCCTTCTCCGATTTCTATGCCGTCAAAAAATTCTTCTTTGGATGTCAGGTCTCCTCTCGTTTCGAAACTAGTGCTAGCATCCATAGGATACGATGCACGTTTTCGCCGTTCGAGAATTACGGCAAGGTCTGGTAAATTTCCCAAGGGCAACTCTAATCCATCCAATGGCGCTTCGTCTTCGCTCTCGGCGGTAACACTCGAGACGCTTGGCGAGATTATGGACGAGCCAAGTCTCTCCTCCCCGCTATAATTCCTCACTCTACTTGTTCCCCCAAACCTCGTTCCCAGACTACTACCCTCCGCCCAATCTTCGAAATCACTATCCAGAACCTGAACCTGATGCCTGTTACTCTCACCCGTCTTAATGTTCAATTGCAGAGGAGCATCCGCGGGAAATTCGAAATCATTCTCAAAATCGTCGTCTACCGAGGGGGATCCTCTGGTGGCTGATTCGGACAAGGGTGGCGTAAGCAAGAGGGAGGCGTTAGACTTTTGCTGCTGAAGGGTACGTCTAGCTGGCGAGAGCCTCGGAGTCGGGAAATCGTCAGTATCAGCAAAAAAGTCATCGTCTCCTTCCACCTCGCGATACTTATTCAATTGCGCAGAAGCCGACGGTGGAACTATCACATTCGCCATGGACGAGGGCCTCGACTCGGACAAAATCTGCTGCAGTGTATCCGGAAACTCGAGACCCCCCTGACCGCGAACTTTCAGTGACATGCCCGAAATTGGCAGTTCCAAGTCTTCCCCCCAGTCATCATGGGTCGCAATCTTCCTGGCCTTCTTCGTTGTCCCTAGCCTCTTGATGGTTCCTCCAATTAGTGCGGACGAGGGGACATTCTCAGGTATCGGTATGCCTGCATTGATAGCGGAAGCGATCGCGGCCGCTGGTGATTCATCCAGGAGAACCTGTCTCTCGTGGTCCCCACCTTCGGGGGAGTCAAAGTCATAGCTGTTGGACTGCATGGACATTCGGGAGGATATGGATTCGCGACGATCGCGGTGGTCAAGACTTGTTCGCTTGTTATTTTTGGGAGAGGATGTAGGCGGAGGCTGTGTAAAGGTTGGATCAATTTCGGCAAAGTCAGGGTCATCATCCCAACATTCCATTCTATCGGCTTGACCATGCAAAAACTGTGATGTGTCCATGGTGAATTTTTCGTATGCGTGCGTGTATGCGTACGTGTGATATCAGCAAAGGGTGTCACCGTGCTATCGCGTCACCCACGGTATGGTACTAAAATCTCCCAGGTGCTGTGCGTGGGTAACGTGTATTGTGATGATTCGAGATGAGTGCGATTGGTATGATTTTGATTTCGATATTTCTCCCCCCTTGAAAGAAGACTTGACTTTATGATATTACAGCGTTGATGCGCCCTCTAAAAATGTTGTTGTTTCGGTCGTAAGAGAAGAAAATTCGTTTCAGAGTCGTGTCGTGATACAGATCGTCAAAAAAATATGTAGTCGAGAGAGAAGAAAAAAAAGGAAAACAAGACGTAAGAAGAAGAAGAAGGGATATATATATCGGCTGTGTTGATGATTATTCTTTCGTTTCGGTCGTGAAAAAATGATGGAGAATTTCGTAGGGTATCGGTTTGTTGTACAGGTGAATACAGGTCGAAGTGGTTGTCACCCTTCTTCCGCTTGCGTCGTGTGTGGGTCGTAGATTTTGGCGGTGTTTTCTTTTTTCTTTTCTTCCTTGTTTACCCGTCGTCTCCACACGGGTGAGAAGTCGCTTGCGAGCACCTCACCGCTTTTCCTTAAAGATAGTGGCAGCCAACAGTTAGGGTGATCGCATACCTGGGGCGCGACGAGTGTAGCAGCCCTTATTGAACTCTCCAGGAATGTACAGTACTGTATCAACGATGGATTCGAGACTGATGAAATAGTACGTGAACACACTAAACGAGGGAAGGTGTGTGTGCGCGTGTGTGTGTGTGGGAGGGGGGAAGGAGAGGGGCGAAAGATGGTACAGTACCGTACGATAGCTGAGCTGAGAAAGGAAATGGGCAAAAGGGCTCGGGGCGATGAGATTGTGGCACAGGGGGAACAGGGTGGAGGAGAGAACGGTGACGACGGTGGGAGGAGAGAAAGAAGGACGAAGGAGGTTGGACAGGAGGTCGGTCACAAGGACTTTGTTGTATGCGCACTGTACGAGTACATATGATACGAATGCCGGTACGAGTATACCGTTTGGGGGGGAAGAGAAAGGTGTTATTTCTGTGTGCGTGTGAGTGTGTGCGGGTGGAGTCCTTCCGCTGTTGTTTATGATATGAAGGAGGGGTCGCGTACCGTACGAGTACTGTACTCTACTCGTACTGTACTAGGAGGTCTGTCTCGCGTTTCCACTTCTGGGATAAAATTCTTGGCGCGTGATAATTCATGATTGTGATGAGCTTCTCCTTCAACCAAGCTTATGATACGATACCGCTATCATAACCCTGCACTTTCTTATCTATGCCCACTCTCCCTTCAACTCACCTCCCCCCGTTCCCCTATGATGAGAAACCTCAACTCCTACACTTAACTTGACTCCTATCCCGTCCGTCTTGCCGCTCAGTTCGTGCTATCGTAATTCAATAGCCAGGAACCTGACAAATGCTGAAACGGTTGAAAGAGTAAGCGAGTAAGCATGACAAGAGTAATTCCCAATCCCTACTACATCATACCGTACCTCCCTCTCTCCCAGGTTAGCAGGGCTACCGTGGTACGAGAGTATAATATTATTATACAAGAACCTAGCTGCCCACTTTCATTTCTTTCTCCCCCCTCCGGATTCCCCATTGCGATATTATTTCCAACGGTCAATCCACCCCGAGCTATCGCACCGCACCCCGCACCATGGATCGGGTACCGGCTCCGGGGAAAGTGACCACGCAATAGGGATATCACACATGTGATATATAATAACTCTAGCACGCTCGAGACACATGGTAAGTAATGAGAGTTCCCCCTAACTCTTATTCGCTTTCCAGAACCTTCTCCCAATCTGATAATTTGCCCAGGACAAGGATTCAAACCTGGACAGCGGGGTGAAACGAGGCGCAATGAACCAGCCAGAGTCATTGTAAAACACCCCAGGAACCGAGAGAAAAAGAAAAGAGAGACTAAATCACTGGTCGGCGATGCATACCCATTACCCAAACCGGATAGATATCAATCGCACCACAGGCACGGGGACGGGTTGAGCAGAGTAGGTGTGTATAATAGACCAGTCCAGGAACGTCCCGCGGACACCAAAGTCGAACTCCGGGCATCATTTTATTACATGCAAGCATCAGATAACCCCACCACTTACCGTACGACCAATTACCCCGTCCCTGTTGATCCCCACCTCATTGCTACTGGAAGGGGCACCTCGTCTCATACCGCCGATCAAAGGCAGAAGTGTGTTTTTTTATTTTTTATTATTTTTACCCTTCGCTAGTCACTTACCCAACTAAACCTACACTGCAGGTTCTGGTATGATAGTTCACATCTCCCCCGGGAGCGAGTCATCATGCCGGTACACAGCCCTATCATAAAACATCCCATGGGGGAGGGGGGGGGAGAGGGGGGGGGGAGTAGAAATGAATCCGCCGGTGATTATCGTGATGTGGGGAGAAACAGGGAATCCTATCGGAGGTTTAGTTTCCCCAATCCCATCTCATCAGTAACAACGATGGTCTATAATTTATCGCACGTTGGTATCAAAAGAAGAAAGAGATGACAACTCTGCCTTCCTAAACTATGGATACCCGACAGTGCCTGAAATAAAAAGGTTAAAGCCGGCCTTCTGCCCGGACTGTTAGTTGTTGGGGTAACGGTACCTTGGTGTTGTGACAGGTTTTTGCTGCCGTAGTCAGAGGTCGGAAAGTATCTCGGGGAGGCCTTGCCTGCAGTCAGACCTTCCTGGAGCGTAGTTTGGGACATGAGAACTGGCTTAACTTAGTATGATGCAGGTTAATGGTGGCTATGGTGCTCGATGAGGCTGAGAAGGTGGACTCATTTGATCTCTCATGTCCCATATCACTTGAGCCATGAGGCACAAGTTCTATAACTAGCAGATAGCGGTCAGGTTCTCGGCACGAACTTGCATTGCATAGTACGATAATCACTCCACTACCAATAAATTCTCATAATCATAGGATATCACTCGAGAGCATCACCAGCTAATATCTGCTGAATGCCAACCGTACCTAGCGTGATGGGCTAAAGCATAAATTATTGTCATCACCATCGTCAAAGATATCCATCACTAGCTAGATACATAAAGAGAAAAAAAGAGAGAAATGTTTAAGGATAAGCGCCGCTGAAATTAAGATCCGAAATAGGAGTAAACCCATGTGCTCATTAGAAAGCTATGCAAACACTGTGCAACAGTGCAAATATTGCGATGGTACAGTTTATTCTGTTCCTCACAACGCACTGACCCCAATCCCATAAGATGTATAGGGGTTTCTAACCGCAACTGTCGTTTGCTTCATATACACCCCCGCCAACCATGCTCTTTCAACTAACCAAATGCCCGCATGGCCAGGCTTGAGAAATGATAGTGGGTACCTCCAGACAGGAGAGGAAGAAAGGGAGAATAAGCCCAATCCATGCATCATACCACCACTTCATCGTCCATTCAAACATGAAAAAGAACAAGAAAAAGAATGAAACAGGGGGGAAAAAATGAGAATCGTGTGAACCATCCCTACCGTCCACTTTTGAAGAGTTGCAATCTACCTAAGCAGAGAGTTGAATAGCAACCAAACAGAAACGATAAAAAAAATCATCCAAGAAACACTACAGTTTGATAGAATGTAAGCCGTATAGATATGGTAAATGGATAATAAGAAAGTGTCAGCGCTAGCGATAGCCATATCTGCTGTATCTTGGTGCAGCAGTGGAAGGGGTGCCGGAGCGGTTGTACATCGGATTGCAGCAGAGAATGCCAACACGGGAGCCAAACTTACTCCCGCGCAAGGAAACCATGTGCTTGCGGATATGGGTCGCAACTTGCTCTCTATGAGTAGACGAAGCATGTTGGAGTATCCATTGAACCAGGTAATTTCCATACTGGTCGCTCGCGACTGAAAGAGTTAGTAGAGGAAAAAGAGGACAGAAGATGAAACATACTATCAATGAGAGGAATGCGAGGACGGTCAGAGCGTCCTTCGCACACACGGTCAAGGTATCGATCGAGAAATTCGCTTCCGCCTATTTTGAGACATTTCTCAACAACTTTGGATGCGTATTGATCCATGCTATACTCAGCGGCATTGTGAACGACGGTATCAACTGCTCTAGAACGGTCAAGAGGCGCCCCGTGCTCGCTAAACTCGGGTTAGATATCTGAGGTAGGTTGAAAGAGGGGAAAGCCTACCAAATGTGTTGAATGCACCAGTTACCAAACTGGCCGTGAGCGATCAGATCAATCGACTCGAGAACCTCGTTGATACAGGGGCGCTACAGATGTCAGTATACACAGCCAATGGATGCCATGAGAACGCATAGGTATAATCTGAGCTACTGACTTTATCCTCTTCGAGGCAATTTTCGAAGATATTCTGGACCACGAGGCTGCCAGTTTCCCCCAACGCAACTTCATGCCACATACCTCGCAAGGCCTCATTTACATACTTCATGATTTGAGGTGGGGAATCCGACCACCTGAGTTCGAAAAGTTTCTGCCAGACATGACAGGCGTCTAAAATATTCTCAGCACCAGAAAAACCAAGGGAGAAGGTTGCTACTAACATCTATGAATGACCGTTTCCGGAATGCGTCGAAGCAATTCGGCGACCATAGTTGCCTTGAAATCCTCAGAAACGCAATCGAAGGCCTTCTGAATAACATGGCAGCCAAACGCATCCATGCTCAAGTTGAGGGTATTTCCACGGATAGCACTTGCTATCCCATCTATCTGCTCCGTGGTGCCATGCTCAAAGCATCGTTGAACGAGAAAGTTTCCGAAGCGGTTAACCATAAGGGGGTACGCTTGAGCTACAATTGAGTCGACGATCGCGTGTTTCTGTTCGGCTGTGCCAATCTTAAGTTTCTGTTGGAGAAAGATGGAGGCTTGTTGGTCATTGTTGCAAACAATCTTATCAACGATGTATTTCCAGTTGCAGTTGACACTGCGTTCGAGAAGTCGCCGATAGTTGAGTGGCTCAATAGTAGAAACATATGTCTGCTTTTATTATTGGAACTTCCGTTAGTTTCAAACACCTATTCAAACAGACAAAGCCCAGAAAACCTACTTGAGCTTGGCCCCACAGCGTGCTGCCACTACTAGAGCCTGAAGGAAAATCAGCAGTAGAGTTAGGGGAAAGCGGAGTGCCGATTGGGCTCGGAGTATAACCTGTGCTCGAAGAAACTTTGTTCGAACCCCCATGCTCAAAGTTGGAGCGGACAAAAGGAGTGGCCTGGGGGTTGTAAGATGAACGACGACCTGAGTAACGACCGTCCCCTGTAACAGGAGGGCCGCCACCCTGTAGACTAAAGGAGCGGGGCGTATTATTCCAGATTCGGCTTCCCCCATAGGCATCTGCATCGACGGGACCCTGGCGCAATGTATTTTGGTATTGCATTTCGCTAGGGGCAGTAATTTGCAAAGATGCCAGCTGGGGCATACTAGACTTTGGGGAGGTGGCCCAAATACCGGATCGGGAGTACGGGCCAGTCGAGAGGGGCTGTTGATGGTACTCAGTGGAATGATCGGCCATCGAGTCGTCATAGGATGCCGATGGCCAGGATTCGGGTCTCTGTGTGTTTGGGCGGGTAGACTGTGCAAAGGCTGTTTGCAAAGAGGCAATGGCTTGCTCTGAGACATCACCTCCCAATGAAGACCCATCCTCCCCTGAAGGACTCAAGACTTGGTCTAGCGTGTGCTTTGCTATTCTTGTATGGACAAGCTCGTCGTTCATGGCCGATATCTTACTTTGGGCGACCTTTAACTCTGATTGAAGACGATTGACTTCGTGAAAGTGAGAAGCCGGGCGAAAGCCATAACTATCGGAGTTATCCACTGAAACAGGATTCTGAACGGCGTTGAAGGGGCCGGGGCTGGGATCTGCTGCCACTTGGATAGAGGGACTGGTGTACGCCGAAAATCCGGGATAGTTATCTGTCTTGACCCTAAAAAGTTCCTTCTCCTGATGCGCAAGAGCCTCTCTTTGTTGATCAATCAATCGTTGCTGCTCGGCGAGCTTGGAAAGTAATTGCTGCATGTTGGTCGCTTCAGAGCCTTCAGGGAGATTCGGCTTCGGAGTCTTGTTTTGATCATCGTCCTGGTTAGTGTTAGTAGCATTCCCTAATATTAATCAAGGTAGAAAGCGAACATCGTCAGAATTATTTTGACTCAGGGCTTGGCCGAGCCCCTCCTTCCTCGCAGTTAGAGACAAAGTCAATTTATCCGTGATTTCTTCAGAAGGAGGAGACCCAGGCTGCCTATTATGTGAACACAATTTTTTCGTGACCAAGAAAGTGCAGGGGAGCTTTTGTGACTTAACCTTTTTGGAAATTCCGAGTTGATTGACCCCCCCGGGGGATTCTTCACAAGTCAAGAATTCAGTTTCGCCAGATCCGGCTGACTGGGTATTATTGTTTTCATTAGGCATAGCGATTTTTGAGGTCACTAATGCCCTAAAGAGGATTAAGGACTACTTTAAATGTAGATTTTTCGAAAAGGTACCGAGATATGAGAAAGGAGTGTGCGTGGGTGTTCGTTGGAAAAAAAGAAAATTGGGTGAAAAGCAAAGATTGAGGATGGAGCGGAAATAGGAAAGGATGAAGAGGAATGGTGATTTTAGAGGGGAGGGAGGAGGAGAGGAGGAGGAGGAGCGGAGGTGTTGAAGTATTGCGGGTTGGTAGTAGAGAAGAACAAACGGAGGAAATACGAAAGATGAGTACGCAGGCGGTAGACGTGAGTAGGTATGAAAGATTAAAAACGACGCGTAGCTAAGTATTTCTACTCACCAAGATCAGCTACGATTCCCATTAAATTTCCGACGTTCCTCGCTTGAACCCCCCCAGGATTATAGCTATGCTGGAGAAGAAATCTTCCAGGAGAAATCAAGCGTCCCAATTGTTGTTAACCCTACAAGAAAAAACACATGAGCACCACCCGGTGCCTTCGAAACCTCTATACACTCTCCAGTCCCCCACCCTTAACTGGTAGACTCACCCACTTATCATACCGGTTGCCCCGTCCGCCACCAAGTCCAAAACCACAAGCCCCTCCTCCACGACTACTGGCCCACCTTTTGCCATCCTAACATCCACCTCAACTCCCACACCCGACAGCATCCCGCCCCCCCAAAGCCCCGATACCACGCGTGGCCCTAATATCAATCTCATACTCGCCGAGACCAAACCCGGCTAGCAGAGGCGTAGGCTTATAATCGTACATATCACGAACAAAGTACCTTCAATCATAGCCGGAATGTATTTGCGTAGACCACATATATTACCACTGTGTCCTCCTTGCAAAACCCTGTATCCCCGAGTGCCTAGGCTTGAACCTGGATTCCAGATCAGCCATATGCTGAGCAGAGGACGTCCCTGTCAGTGTTATAGAGCAGTACACCCTTCAGCCCTTATTGTCCCCCGGGAGGAATTTGAGGGTATGGAGGCTCGGGATAGAGTCGTAGTATACCATGGAGAGGGAGTGGGCCGGCGCTCCACTCTGCCTCTGCAGGCTTGTTATTTGGTCGGGGTATTGTTGATTAGCCGATTGATTGGATAAGGAGAGGTACTGCGCTAATTTGAAAAGAACCAAGCAAGTCCCAAGCCGACGATAGCGCTATGCGACTCGCGCATCGCGGTAGCGCAAGTGGTGGTAATAATGTTGTTTGTAACTGCATCGTTAGCAGGAAGGATGATAGTGCGTCGTGAGCTGTAGCAGGAGGTCAGCGGGGACAGTAATCGATGTACCCATCCGTCTTGGCAACGGTCATTAGAGGTAGTGTGTACAGTACAGTTCCGGTGCTCAAATAGTATCCGTACCGCATTGGGGGGATCCAGCAGTGAAACCGAAAAGGTCATAGCCAGGGAAACAGTGGTAAATCAGGAAAGGCGAAATGCCAGGTCCCCGCTCATGGCATTACCAGTATCATACTCGTGCGAGTACCTGTCTGTTGAGGCAGGGATTATTAAGACCCCCTACCACTTGGGGAGTACTGTACCGGGGGTTGTGGGTAAGTCTGTCGAAGTCCCGCTCATTGGCTCCAGGCTGCGTCGACCACCTAGAGAGCAGCATTTGCTCCAGCCTTGCTCTAGCCGCTGTGCCAAGAGTTCGACAGACTTTTTTCCTTCACCAAATTGTGAAGGAAGCCACCAATTATGTGTTCTTGGAGGCTTCCATACACATACAAACTCGGCCTATGAGAGCAAAGTTCGACAGACTTTTGCGCACACCCTAAGTACACTGGTCACTATTGCAGTGAACGCCAAGACGTAACCAACGACGACGAAGGCAAATCTAAGCTGCGATGCTAATGACAATCTCGGGCAGGTTGGTCTTGGGCTGTCGCCCACCCATCTTTGGGTTACCTTCGCATCCTGTCTCGGTGTTGGAACCCAGAGATTTCCAGAGGTTCAAGTCAAGTCCGCACTCCCTCGTTGAGCATTTTTGGTAGGGATTATGTTTTCCACAGCTGGTTCCCTCGGCTTGTATCACTCATGCCGCCCCTGTCAGTGTCTAAGACAGAAATGACTAAAGTACCAGGACCTACCACAGGACCGGTATTCTTCGGTACCGGTATTAGCGCAGGTGCAGGCTAATACTGTACCGTACCGGTACCCTAGTACTGGTATCCAACCAAGGCTCGAAGCGAACCTGTAACAAAAGTTGCTTATTAACCCATGTCTCAGAAACTGACAAGGACGCCACAAAATTTTGCGCCATTTCAGCAGTCCAGGAGATACGGTACCATTCTCGAGCATGGTATGGTAAGGGTACCCGAGCGGCCGGGCTGACGATCAGGCACCCAAAGCTACCGTAGTAGCGACTGTCGGGCCAGTAGCAATTTTCATAGTATGATCTCCAGCGATTCAAATGGTGTGTGCAACCAGGCCACACTTGTAGACTTTGACCTTCTCTGCGGTGCTCTGCGACGTCCTCATATACCACGGAATAATGTAATGAGGAATAGACTTGACCGGCCACTGTATAATGTGACCGATAATGTAGAGGTAAGAGACGATGAAGCCGGATCCAATAGAGATAGGAGGAAAACGATGGCTATTAGTCTGTTGGGTGGTGGTTATCGCTCACGCCAAAGAGGGGAAAGTGCACACCTATATACTCGAGTACAAGTACAGGTGATAATGCGTGCCAAGGCATCCCCGATCAGGAAATTCCCCAGGTTGAAACCCCTCCCAAACACTACCACAAACAACTAAACCAATACCCCTTCCACACTCACATGCAGTGATTTATGATACCATTCAATCTGTGATTGCAGGAGGAAACTGCCCCGCAACGAACTCCAGTATAACCAGAACGACTCCTATATTATATACCGTTGATACATTCTGGAACAGGAACATGCGCTCAGCGGCGAAGAAACCCGTGAAAATCTCCACTGAACGCGATGTACTAGCATTAATTACTAGCATACCAGGTTCAGTATGTCTTCCAGAGCGACGTACTGGTACCAATCACTGATACTACCTGCAGCGCATACGGTAGGGGCTTTAAAAAAGTCAATCAACATCTGGCCATCCGTGGGGAGCAGGGCAAAGGATACTTTTGGATACAATACCGGTAACGGTACCAAACGCCGGAGGAAAACCAGGAAGATCCCATATTATTGTGCTCTATAATACATTGGCGAGTCCCTCCTGAACATGCAAAATAGTGGATGAAAGTAGGCAAACTGAGCGGAGATTTAATGCAGAAAAAAGCGATATAGAAACAACAAATAAACCTATCCCAATACTGGGATAGCCTTGCTCTTGATTGCCCCCCCCCCAACCCACCATAGCCCCAACCCGTCCGCTCTATCCTACAAAAAGGTAAAAAGGAGAAACCAAACACCCTAAAATATCTATGAAGGCACCCTCGGTTGGGCGCTCTTGAGAAATAAATTATTACTCTGATGTTTCGTGACGTTTACTCTTTACTCATTGCATGAGTCTATCGAAGGTGGGTATCAATGTTTGGGCTGGATTGAGAGGGTTAGTGGGTGATCCCATCGAAGTGGGATGAGTAAGTAGACTATTGACGTACCGATCCAGAAAGAGAACACAAGCTTAGGTCCTGTCATCAAGAGCTTGGGCGTGAGCCCTTTGAAGAATGCGGTAGGCCCCTCGTGCTTGACCATGTTGGAGACAATCCGGAAGCCACTCTCGGGGTTCTCAAAGTTCCTGCACGTCATCCTTTTTAGACAAGAGAAGGACATAGTGTGAGCAAGGGGCGGTTTTAAATTACCTGTTTTGGATACGAGTCTTGATAACGTCCAAAGGAGCGGATACCACGAGTGAAGAAGACGCTCCGGCAATTGATGCGATGAAGTTTTGCCCCCAGGTTGCGGCATTGTAGTCAGTGAGCCCCAACATTTCCTTTGCGAATGCACTACCACCGAAGAGCTGCATGGCATATTAGCAAGGAGTTGATGCATTTAAATAGGAAGTAAGAATTGACCAACCGCAAAACTTCCAGGGGCGTTTCTGGCAGCAGTCCACCCCCACCCTCTGTACAAACCGAATCCCTCATCGGAAACTATCTTGAAGAGGCCCCGTCCCCTGAATGCCTCTGGGTTTGTCTGGCGCTTGATCTTGAGGACGTCAAGAGGGAGAAGAATAATCTCTCCGATACCAATCAAACTAATAACAGTATTTGTTTCAGCTCTCAAGTGCCCATGTACGAACAGAGCTAAAATAACAACGAACCTTCCAGCGGTGGCATGTAAGATAGCCTTTCCGCTCCCCTTTCCAAAAGCCCTGTCAAACTTCTCACCATGGTGTATGGAGAGGAAATCCCTCACAAAAGGCTGACCACCAAACTTGTAAACCCTTTGCGACACCTATTTCACAACCATATAATTAACCTTCACCGTTAGCACGAAGACGAAAACATGCCTACCTTATACCCAGCTGCATATCCCAATCCAGGAAACAACGAAAAGAACTTGCGGCCGATAGGAGCGGTGGAATAGTCCTTAAAGATGACAGTGTTCAACTGTGGCCCAGAGGCGATCTTTCCATGATTGCTCATCAACCGCTTCGCAATTGTATCGACCTTGTAGAAAGAATGTCAGCTTTCCTGTAAGGTAGCTCACGACAAACTCCATTTGAGAAAGAATATAGGCAATCACTCACAGGGTGGAAAACCGCTAATTCCGCAATTCCGGCAGATCCTAAAAGACCAGGTTAGAATTGAGCTTCCACAATAGGTTGGGAGGAGAAAGAGGAGGAGAGGGAGGGGCTATATCTCACCGGAACCGAGTAACCTAGCGATGCCGGACTCCCTCTTAACGTCCCTCGCTGAGGTATTGGAAACGAGTGCCGGAGACATTTTTCAATCCCGAACAATTGAGCTCGCAGGAGAGGGAAACTGAAAGTAGGGATTGAACTACTATTCAAATGAATGAGCTGAAGGAAGTTTGATGGAGGGTTTGTAAATGGTTTTTTTTTACCGGAGGTGGGAGGGAGAGTGATTTTCTCTCGGGACAGGTCGCGGTCACTCTGAGAAAAAAAAGTTTCCGTTGATCCTATATCATATCCCGTGACTTACAGGTTTTTCAGTTGTGCCAAGACAGTGGTGACTGGCGAAAAGTACCGGTATGACAACTGATAAACTACCGGCAAAGAACCCTTTTTAATCCTTGAGCATTAGTACCCGATACCACAACCGTTCTCTAGAGTATCCCCAAATTTCAGTTAATCTTCTCAATCGAGGGGGGCGATATACATTGAAAACTACAAGGTTAGCCTCTATGGTTATCCAGGCGCTATTACCGGTACCCAAGTAGCAGTAGGTGTCGATTATTGGTAATGGGCTGTTATCATGATACTTGTAGTCTACCGTACCAGCATCTTCCAATCCACTCCGAACCAGCTTGACCGGCCACCCTCGAGCTCTCCGATCTCAATGCCACGACAGAAATACTGTATGAGATATATTCCCCAGTTGCGCACCCTCCCCCCCAGCAGTTCATTTCGGCAGGATGCGAACCCCAGTCTTGGACGCGGGAGCGATGATCCTTCAAGGGACTGGGGTATTGTCTCCATCCGGGGTGTTGCCTCCATATGGGTAATCTTTTCAACAGGATAGATGGCCGTATTTGTTCCAACATCCCTTCAATTCGAAAGCTTTGGGGGCCCAAGAGAGTGGCCCGTGGTTGCCGATTCCCGCGCTGTGGGCTCTCCATCGACTCGTGCACGAGACCATCTAAAGCCAGGCTGTTACAGTATGATACGAACCCCCCCCCTCCTTCCAGAGTGGTGCCCTCAACGACCGATGGTGCGCACATTTCATGCCCTGAGAGAAGTATAAATAAGCTACAAGTCCTCTAGAGGAGCGACTGACTCCCCTTCGACTTTTTCCTCTCCATCAACACAGCGCAAAGGATGCTCTTTCCCATCACAACATAAGAGTTCTTATCACACGCCCAGGTGCGGCCAGTAACGTTTCCCAATCCAGATACAGTTGTCCATTGAAAGGGGATACCCTGCATCGACCGCACAGACAACGGACAAGCTGAGCATACACTTCTTATTCAGAGTGAATTTCATATTAAATCACCAAGAGCCAGTAACAGTAAATAGTCAAATCGGTACTGTGCCCCCGAGCAGAAATAAAAACGCTCCCCAGGTTCACGGGTCACTATAAACTCGCTGCACCATTGGTATCTATCTCTACGTTTGCATTTGGTACAGCAGTCACTCAGTAAGAACACAACCACAACGAGCAGCGATGTGGGGCATCTGGCATCAAGCCGGCCGGCCAGTCATCCGGCTCCACCCCCGGGCCCAAGCTGCAAGTAATTGGAACGCAAAAAAAAAGTGACGTTTTTTGTGTCCCGTTACATCGAATTATTATGCAGGGACCGCAATACCGGAAAGTTACATCCACTTACAAGAACCCAGAAAAAAAACAAATGACAGGAGGGAATACTAGGAAGGGCTCGTAGTACAGTTTTGATCTTAGACTATTAACTGTTTCTATAAAGCTCTAGCTACGATACCACGAACCCCGGAACTCCTGGTTCCTTTATCTTCCGCCTGCCCCCAGTTTTACGACACGGTTTCTGGTGGGGTTCGCCGAATTTCCGGGTATCCCATACCGGTATGTGGTTGGTGCCTTTTTTTTTCTTTTCTGCCAACCGTTCCTAGTGCAAATTACTGTGCGCCATCACCGGAACCAGGCACGCGACGCCCAATTCTGTGATGCCCAGGTTTATGGGGGGGTTTTCTCCTAAAAACTCCCGATTGTCCGCATCGCCGAACCGTGGGCAAACAGCAACTCCCTTGGTACAATATGTTTTCCCGTTTTCTCCATCTTCGCTTGAATCTTTTTTTTTATCTCAGCCCCACCGCGAGCAGGCGTTTCTTCCTTTCCATTTACAGACTTGCATTTCCGATCACTCGTCACCCTTCTCCCACCAAGCCCAAGCACCTCCGGTAAAGCTGCCTCTCTACTGATACAACCGACAACGAGAGGGGTGGAGGAAAAAAAGAAAAAGAAAGAAAAAGAACCCCACAAAAAGTAGGCAATAGTGCGAGCGCGGAGAAAAACGTATCCCATGTAAAGAAGTTAAAAGAAACAAGCAACGCTACCCCAGAATCTATTTCGAAATTCCAACCTTCTCAAGGATTTTGCTTCCGGCAGCAGAAACCGGAGACTGATTCGTCTCTCCAAAGATGCCCAAGAGTTGTCTCCAAACGACACCGGGCTCCTGCGAAGCGTCGATGCCCTTCCACACCTTCTTCCCCTTGTAGTATTCGACGACAGGCTTAGTCTGCTGGTGGTAGGTGACAAGACGCTTCTTGAGAGTTTCAGCGTTATCGTCAGACCGCTGAATTAAGGGTTCGCCGGTGACATCATCCTTCATACTCTCCTTCGGCGGATTGAAGATTCTGTGGTAAGAGCGTCCAGAAGCGGGGTGAACAAGACGTCCGGTAATGCGAGCAACCAGCAGGGCATCGTCAATCTCGAGCTGGACCACATGATCCAGCTTCTCGCCACGATTCTCAAGCATGGAATCCAGACGGTCTGCTTGAGGGACAGTGCGGGGGAAGCCATCAAGAATGAAACTATAAAAAGAGATCGTTAGAAAAAACAAAACAAAAGTGTTTCTGCTGTAGCTGTGGCCGAAATACCCATTCTTGCATTCAGCATTGTTGTCGAGTTCGTTCTTGATCATACCAACCATGATCTCGTCGCTGACCAAACCGCCCTCGTCCATAATCTTCTTCGCCGCACGACCGAGAGCTGTCTTCTTCGCGACCTGGGAGCGAAGCATGTCGCCAGTAGCCTAGAATAATCATGTTAATTAGAATAACAGTCAGAATCTCTGTATCGCAAGGAAGAATACTAGATGGCAGATACAGAATTTATCTTTGATCTTTGGAGCCTGTGTTCCCTTCCCTGCATTTCACCACCCGTTAGCCGAGGCGTGCGTTCGTGGGCGGTTTGTCAAAATAAACTTGAGATCTGTCTTTATACTAAAAGAAAGAAAAAAGCGTCACCAACCAGCGCCAGGAGGTCCCATAAGAATCATCCTAAGTGAACCGACTGGAGCATCCGCCCCGCTACCAGGATCCCCGGTGATGCTTAGTTCGAGTTTTTCTATCCGCTCCTGCAGCCTTTTGACCAAGTCCTTGAGACTAGCAACATCTTCTAACGATGGTGGCATATTTGGAGATTTTTCTGTTTTTTGAGTGGAGTTGAGGGGAGCGTGCTGGACGGAGTGGAGAGTGGAGCGTAGCGCGTATGAGGGGTCGAAACCAGAGGCCCAATTGATAGATAGGGACGAGCCCGGGGAAGGACGGGACAGGCTGGAGAAATAGTTGAGGATTTGAAGGGTTGGGGTTTACTTCGGTCTCACAGGCCAATTTTGACCTGATCTTCTCTGATCCGACTAGCGCCGAAAATATACACAGAACAGAGAAATCAGCTTCAATTTTTCTCTTTTCTACCGTCTATTAAACGGTCTAGTTATCCTATTGTTTTATCTTTACATCTCTTGAGCGGGGTTGTGTTCCTGTATTACATATGATACATCAATTACCTGTAGGGTTGTGGTGGGGCTTGGACGTGTTTACGAGCCTCTCGACACCTCTCACGCACTCTTGCAAAAGCATCTCAATACCCCCAACACCACACATTCAAACCCACGAATCCATCTCTCTCGACCACAATCTCATCCCAAAACTCTCCAATCATATACAGTGATGCCTCCTACACTCGGTGAAGCTGTTCCTAGTACTACTGTCTCCATCGCCCCTCTCATTCTCCTCAGCGCCTGTGATCACTATGGTCGCTCAGCAAAGGGAACTAGGAGAAGAGTGGTCGGTGTATTACTTGGTCAAAATAACGGATTAGACGTTAGGGTAACAAATAGTTTCGCCGGTACAGAGCCCATCATCTCCTTCAACCTATTCCGATGGAGAGCTAATGCTGATGATGATGACACCCGCAGTTCCATTCGAAGAGGACGAAAAAGATCCGGCGGTTTGGTTCCTTGACCACAATTATGTTGAGTCCATGAACGATATGTTTAAGAAGGTCAACGCCCGTGAGAAGCTTATCGGCTGGTATCACTCTGGGCCCAAACTCCGCGCGTCTGATCTCGAGATAAACGAGCTATTTAAACGATACACACCCAACCCTTTACTGGTTATCATTGATGTGGAGCCTAAGGAGCTCGGGGTACCTACCGATGCTTACTTCGCTGTCGAGGAGATCAAAGACGTAGGTTTTACCGCAAGCTAGAGCCTCTGATTGGGTTTGGAGATGGTGTTTGATGTTTTTCTCTGATGCTGGAAGCTTGGATTAACGTTTCCGTTGGCAGGACGGGACCACCACTACCAAGACTTTTGTTCACACGCCATCGATAATCGAGGCCGAGGAGGCGGAGGAGATAGGTGTTGAGCATTTGCTCCGCGACATCCGAGACGTTGCCGTTGGCTCGTTAACCACTCGGGTCAACTCCCAACTCCAATCTCTTCAAGGCCTCCATCTCCGCCTCCGGGATATTGGAGCCTACCTTGAAAAAGTTCTTAGTGGCCAACTCCCAGTGAATCATGCTATCCTTGGAAATCTTCAAGACGTTTTCAACCTGTTACCCAATCTTTCAACTCCATCCTCGACAGACGGCGAAGAGGGTCACAACAACGATTTGGCCCGGGCTATGAGTGTCAAGACAAACGACCAACTGATGGCCATCTACGTTTCTTCGCTGATCAGGGCTATCATTGCCTTCCACGACCTTATCGATAACAAAATCAAGAATCGGCAGGACCAGGCTGAGGAGAAGGAGAAAGAGGAAAAAGAACGAGCGGAGAAGGAGAAGAAGATGGCCTCCTCTCCCGACAAGGATGGTTCTTCCGAGAAGGGGAAGGAGGACTCACCTAAGGAGAAAAAGAAGGGAGACAAGGAATAGACATGACATAAATGTTATATAAAGGGCACTATATGTCGAAACTTTGGGAAAGTAAAGAAAGTGCCGGCCTGGAGGTCATATCCCCTGTAGCATAACGACTAGAATTCTGGTATCTGGTCGTGCTTTTCCCCAAAACCTCTTTGTTATGCGAATGCAGGATACCAAAGCCAACCTCATGGTTTGGATTGTCCCTACAGTAATTCAAACGGGCTTCTGGCTATTGTCCTAAACTCACTCAAATTTCTCCCGAGATCGCCCGCTCCCTCAAAGCGATTATCCGGGGCCATGGAGCCTTCTCTTGTGCTCGAGTATAGTGTCAGAAGGCAATATCCAGAATAAACCAATCATATCTCGAACAGATCACTCCACGATACCATTCATACTAGCTCTCCCGGGGGGGGAAGGCGTGGTGCATTGTACTCGTAGGGGAATGTGCAGCTTAAAGCCTTCGCGAACAACTAGTCTAAATTAGGCATCCCTGAATGATATCATGGGATGCCCCGCCAAGCCAAGTTAGCCACTCAAGTAACGTGCAAAAGAATAACATTTCCACCCCGCCCTCCCCGCTCGACCACAAACAACCCAGCGACCCCCCAATGACCGCAACTCTATCAGTGGTAGAGTTGGCCAAACGGCAGGCGGCCTACCGCGCCGTTGACGAGCACTTCCCCCCACACGCCCGCTTCGTCGGAATCGGCTCCGGCTCAACAGTGGTGTACGTCGTCGAGCGAATCGTCCAGCTCGGGCGCGATGTCACCGATTCCATCACCTTCATCCCGACCGGGTACCAGTCCAAGGAGCTGATCACCAACGGCAGCTTGAAGCTCGGCTCCATCGATCGCTATACTGAGCTTGACATCGCTTTCGACGGAGCAGACGAGGTAGATCCGTACTTGAACTGCATCAAGGGCGGAGGTGCGTGTCTGTTCCAGGAAAAGCTTGTCGCGATATGCGCGAAGAAGTTTATCGTCGTTGCTGGTGAGCCCTACTTCCCCGCTCCCCCTTAGGGGGGCCATCACATGACGCTTCGAATCGAAGTTGACAAGTTTCCCCGGATCTGATATATATATGTATATACAATATAAAAGACTATCGCAAACTCTCACCCTCGCTCTCAACCCACTACACCCCCGGCATCCCCATCGAAGTCGTCCCTCCGGCTGCTACCTACATCATATCCCGTTTGATCGCCCTCGGCGCCGTCAACCCCGCGATCCGCATGGGTGGGACATCCAAAGCTGGACCGTGCATCACCGACAATGGTAATTTCATCATCGACGCTCCGTTCCCTGATGGGTTCATCCCCTCGCCATCCTCCCCACTTTCCCATCCGCACAAGCCGCTTTCGCCGGCCCTTTCCGCTACTCCCGTCGATGCTGCTGCCGTCGAGCGCGGCGGCGAGAGGGTCGGGGGCATGGATATCCTAGGGAAGGAGGGGGGACATCCCGGCGCTGCGGTTGGCATGGGCGTCGGGAGTAACGAGAAGGTGGAGGAGTTGGCAAGGGCTCTGAAGAGTATTGTTGGCGTCGTCGAGCACGGGATTTTCTGGAACGGGGATCGGAAGCCGGTTGTGGCTTACTTTGGCATGGAGGACGGAAGGGTTGAAACCAGAGGCCATACATAGTCTACCGACAGTGGGCTTGGCAATGTCGCGATGACAAGCTGGCATATTGGACATTGGATCAAAATGTCTTTTTTTCTCTTTCTTTTTCCTTTCTTCTTCCCCCCCCCCCCCTTCGATATCCATCTTCCCCTTCGTACTTGATTCAATTAGTTTCCCACGATATGATAGTGATATCGGGAATGCCTGTCTCGAGGAGAAACCCTAGCATACCGTACGGGCACAGGTGAACACCCAGGAAGACGTTTTCGTGCGTGTGCAAGTATGACACTGTACAAGACAAGGATTACCGGTATTCGGGTGGTAAACCATCCCTGTCCCCCCCCGAAAACAATCTCCCGGGAACTCGTCCAGCACCGGCAACACACCCCGCAACAGGCGAATACCGGCACAGCACCGTAGCATCACAATTATCTCTACCGTACAGAGTACGGTACTCGTGCAAGTGCCAGGGGAGATGCCTCCGTACAAGACAGGGATTATTTTGCGGGTTAACCTAAATTAACTGTGCGAAAACATTACAGTATCCCTGGCACTTGTAAACCCCCAAAATAAAACCCAACCCACCCTAATAAATCAAAATCTCTCTCTCTCCACCAAATCACAACTTCTCACCCGAAAGATCCGAGATCGTGCTCACCTGATCACGTGTGACTCACCAGAGAACCTGACGCAGCCAAGCGCCCGCGCATGACTCTCAGCGCCGCCTGTTGTCTTGTTCAAAACACGCGAAGAAAAGAAAAGAAAGGAAACGACAGAGACAAAGGCAAAGGCAAAGGCAGTCCATCACCGACAGGAGCTGTTCCTCTTGTCCAAGAAGTAACCAGTTCCCAACATGAGCTCTTCCTCTTCGTCATCGCAAAGGCCGACGTTAATCCGCCTCGGTCGTTATGACACTCCCGACGCCGGCCATTTCGTCCTGCTGCATACGACCCCAACTAGCGCTGTGCATCCATTGAATCTCAGGCTTCACGCGACGGAGGGGGAGAGAGCCTTTGCTACTAATAGTAATTTACCCAACCCGCCCCAATACTTCAAGGTGAGACACGTCGCTAACGGTCCGTGCTCGGGATACCGGTAGTCACGCAATCCAAGATCTACGAGCTACGGGCGAGGTCGTACACTGGGACTTCTGAAGATTTGGAAAAGATATTCTTGGCTCTGCTGCTGAAGCAGGATGTTGGGGTAGAGAGGGGCGTGGAGTTGGCCGCTGCGGTGGATGCTAGAGGTGTTACGGTATGATCGCAACTCTTCCTTCCCCATTCGGAACGAAGGAGGGGGACGCGGGGTCCGAGCTGACGAGAGTAGTTAACGGTCCGACAAGATATCGGCGGGATAAAACAACGGATCGCGGCTTTACAAATTCCGGAGGAAGAAGTTGAGATACCAATTTTCGAGTGGGCGGTGGAGGCTTGCGGGGATTTGAATAGTGGCTCGGTATGTGGTGCGCGTTTGTAGTCAGCACGCGGTGCGGGCCGAGCTAATTCTGGGGTGGGTCCGGGACGATCGGCATAGTCTCAATTAGGTAGCCTCCAGCGGAAGGTCGAATCTCAGGAGAAGGAGATTGAGGCTCTCACGAATCAACTGAAGGATTTGGCGGCGTTCAAGAAGGAACATGAAGAGCAGCTACTAGTCAAGTTTAGTGAATTGCTGAATTCCAAGAAGGCGAAGATTAGGGAATTGAGTCGAGAGCTGGAGGTTAGAGGTGGTGATGCGGGTGTGTTCTCCCCTGTCGGGTCATCTTATCCGCTGTGTTAATGATGAGATACCCTGGACAGTATCTTCAAAGGCGGAGTCACCAATAGCGGAAGACGAACCGGAAGTCGCCGAGCCGGCCCCCGCCAGAGGAAGAGGAGGCAGAGGTCGAGGCAGGGGCAGAGGCAGAGCCAAGGCCGCGGCACCCCCCAGGAAGCGAAAGCCAATCGCGCCCCCCACGGATTCCGAATCGGACGGTTTCGTAAAAATGGAGATGGATGATAAAGGGAAGCCATCTCCCGATGACGAAACCGAGGACTCTGAGGAAGAGGCCGGACCCAGCCGTGGATACCTGCGGCAGGACGCAAGGAGCGACCGGAGCATCACCGAAGACGAGGACGAACTTCCTCCCGTCAGGAGACCAATTGCATTCACCATTAAAAAACCCGACCCCGCAGCCGAGAGGACCCCCGATGATGAGGATGTCGAGATGGACGAACCTCTCCCGGCACAACCTTCCAGGACCAGCGGACGGGCACGGGGTGGGGGCGGAAAGGGGAAGGCGCCCGCTTCGCCGCCGACGTTGCGGGGTAAAGGCAGAGCCACTCGGCCAAAGCCGAAGGCGCCAAGTCCCTACTCTTCTTCAGTAGAATACAAGTTGGATACGGGAGACAGTGAGGATGATGATGAACTATAGAGGAGCAAAAGACGTGAAGAGAGGGGAGGAAAGCGAATTTGTACTTGCTCGTGGGACCTCTGAAAGGGAAAACAATCAATTACACTGATGCCGTACACCCTTGGTGAGACACATGCACACGAGACCTCCCCTACACCGTATTTCATTGAGACGCATCCATACATTTCACCAATAACAAAAAAATATATATATATAAAAACCAGTACTGGCCCCTTGAGACCTCCCGGAATTTGAAAAACTCTTTCCTCCGTGCTGCCTACCTTCAACCCACCCCTACGCATGTGTGTACAGTAGATCTAGACCTTACAGGAACTCTACTTTTCAACAGGTATCCCTTGCTCCTTCTCCCGTGATAGGGCGTCTCCCGATTCCACAGCCGCACGCAGTCTTCACCTGTCCGTATTACGGCACTACCATTAATTATACGACCCCCCTTCCTACCCCATCTAAAGATATCTGCTCACCGCCATCTTGCAAATTATCTGCTGCATCGATACTACCCCACTCACTCACTCACTCACTTATCATACCTCAGGTCACTTTAATATTATTTTTTCCTTTTTCAAGTTCCTCATAAACCAGTTTTCTTTCTTTCTTTCTTGCTCCTAACGTCCCTCCCCCTCCTTTTTATGATGTTATAAATTTACCATCTTGGTTTGTGTTGTACAGTACAGTATTTCAATTATCGTCATGGTCTACCGGCCGTCCATCCATCCCATCTGACTTTAAAGCAGTTCTTCGACATTGTACCGTAAAATAAATAAAAATAAAAGCTTGTAAAATTCGCAGTGTTATAATTGGACCGGTCAGTGTTCACTTGTGTGTCGTACCGTACAGTCCCATGATTGTCAGAGAGAGAGAATTTCCTAATCATATATGCAATTATCTTACCCTAGCTCCGACTCGGAGAATATTTTGCTCCTTCAATATCAGTGACTACGATACAGTATCTACAGTATCATTTTAGGGCTCTTGCTTTCCCTTACCCTCTTTGAATATTTTACTCTTATGCGGTTCCGACTGTCCTGGCCGTCTTGAGGACTAACCAACCGCCTTGTAATAAATCGTAGAGTTTAATGTATCGTAAAAAAAAAAAAAAAAAGGTAGGGGTATCATACGAAACGACAAATTTCATCGTATCCTATCGTAGCACCGCAACATAAAGTATTATATGATGTGATGCCAGGACGAGATGTGTGCCCTTCCTCCTTACAGGGCATACCGAGTGAGACCCCATGAGCGCAAGACATGTTCCGTTCCGTTTCTCAACTTGACGAGCGAGGCGGCGGCGGGCGGGCGGTCCGTGTCCGTTTCGGCTCTGTTCCGTCTGAAACTGAATCAAGGGTTCTTAGTTTTTTTTCTTTTTTTCTTTTTCGCTAGGGAGGGGTTTTTCCTTCTTCCCTCCGTCAGTGTCCAAACGCGGTTGTCCCGGCGTGTGATGCGGACCGTGAATCGTCGTATATATCCTTACGGTTTTCAAAACGGTAACTGTAACTGCGAAGTGAAGTGGAGTAGAGTGCTCAGGGCTTTGAGAAAAGAAAAAAAAGAAAAAAAATATCGGCGGTCTACGGCGCGGCGAAGGAGTTTTGTGGGTAGGATCGTTTCTTGGATGTTTGTTGAATGCGGGGTGGGCATCTCTTTGTCTTTCTTTTTTTTCTCCCCTTTGTGATTTATTTATTTTTCGCCCCATTGCCCGTTTGTATCATTGTATCGTGCCGTCCGGTATGCGTAGTCTTCCGGATGGGATAAGAAAGCATCGCGTAGTATCGTGCTATGCGTATGGTACAAGTGTTGTAATGCTATGATACCGGCGGCTAACTTACATCGCAACGCGCTTAAATATTGGTCGGTCCCGCGCGAAATGCGGACGCCCAGCTGCCCGGTTGGTTATGATACAAGTACCGCACAGTGCAGCACAAGGTGAACGGTTCCGTATTTCTTGGCGGTTTGATCCACGCTCGAAGTTTAGAAAGTAGTCTACCGGTACTCGTAGTCCATCGTGCATTGCGACGCCAGTTCTGCTCCTGCTTTGACAGCTAAATTTATCCCATGTGTCATGGTACCGGTGCCTTGCCGATACTGGTGTCTGGACAACTTATGATACTATGATAGTCCTTCTTACACTGAGGGACCCGTATGACAAAAATTCGCCGTTATTTATTCATTTATTTGTTCATCTCATCGACTGGAAAAGATCCGCCGGGCGCTAGCCTAGTTTAGCACAGCAGGGCATCATACCGTACGGTACGTTGAGATAAGGTACCGGTATCATACCGGTATCATACCAGGAAGCCATCACAGCTTAATATAGTCCATAACATAAAACACCCCCAAAACAACCCCGATCCGGTGAAAAAGAAAAGAAAAACGATCACCGTAAGCGAAGGCGTTTGTCGCGACCGACCGAGACGGATTCTCCTACTTTAAACACCACGAGGGAAAAAAAAACTACTCGTATCATGCCATTCGAGTACGGTACTAATACTAGCCTAGCCGATCCGGATCCTGGCTATTTTCACGGTTTTTGGCTTTTGAGCCCGTTGGGGCCGTACCGGTACGGTAATGCTGTCATACCCTGGGGTCCCCGTCGATCGCCGCTCCCGTCTTATGCTGCCGTATGGGTATGACGGGGAAGTTTCACCCGGGCGAAAGAAAAAAAGAAAAGAAAAAGGATCTGAAATGACGTTGTGGGTGGGTTGGGTTGGGCCGCGGGGGAACTCTTCTTAACTTACGGTGGTCTAACCGTCTCGCCCGGGTTGCGTGTGATGGAGAGCCTTTGTTTGTGGCCGTTACCCGAGGTGTGCGGATACTCCCCCCCGCCCCCGCATACCGGTATTACTGTATTTCGCTCGACGGTGGCGGGGGGGGGGGGAAAGTGGGGGATGGGCGAGAGGATTCATGGGAGCGTTGTATCGTGCTTGTCCACCGCCTGGAGGGGGTGTGTGCTATCATATTCTGCTTGCACGCTTAATTCCGGGAAGAGGTGTGGCTTGCTCCATCTAACCCGTCACGCAAGATCACTCGAACATGGTGCAATGCATGGCTATAAATGGATGCCATAAGGGAAAGTATCTCTCTCTCCTTTTCTTTTTTCCCACGCTGTGGTACGGTACCGTAGGCTGTCATACTCGAGTACCGTACTAGTACAGGTACTCGTACTGTGCCAATAAGTTATTGTGCCGGGCCTGAGAACCAAGGCTCCGTGCTACCGGTATCTTAAAGTCGGTGCGCTAGTCTTAATATGGCAGACGACCTTACCTCTTTGGGCCATAGATTGTCATAATATTACTCAACCAATACCGGTACCGGTACTTTGCTCTCTTTTCCGGGGGAATGCCAAAGCGCCCATGTCCGGCTGGGTCTGGCTTCGATATTGAAAGGCTGTTGAGGCGAGGGCATCCTCTCTAGAATAGAATACGCCCTGCGAGTGTTTTTCCCTCCCCCCCTTTGCGCGAGTTGGAGAAAAAGTGAGATGATAGCATATCAGGATGTTGCTGCTGTTGGCCGAAGGGCTGGGAAAATTTGACCGTGGCAGGGGTTGATTCTGCTTGCAGGGCGCCGGGATTCTACTCGCCAAAATCCGGGAAAAGTCTGTCCTTGATGCGTAACCGGCATTGTCGAGAGGGAAATTATCCCCATGCGGGAGGAGCCTTGATGGTAGCAGGGCTGTGTCGCTCTTGAGGAAGATCGAACATCGTATCCTCGGAAGCCGGCGGTGGTGTAGAGAGATAAGCGCTATTGTTCTGATGCGAGCATGGGCAAAGGCTGGAGACAGACCCTTGACCTGGGCGGGTAAGGTGCTGGATGGGTGAGCAGGGTTAGGTTTCGTTTAAGTTAGGCTGACTCTACTGCCCTGAACTTTCGCTCGGGTTTTCCTGGGGGTGCGGGTCAGAGCCTAGCTACCGTCAGACGGTGATGTTGGTTGCGAGTCTTCCCACCGCTTCACACTTTCTCTCTGCACACGATGGGGCGTGGAGAGGTACAGTATGGGAAGAAGGTAAAATGGCTTGGCTTTAACCCGCCTTTGGTGAATGAATGAATGAATGAATTCGGGGCACCGTACCGGGAGAATAGGTACTTGTAGGAGAGAGGTTTCCTGCCGCACGGTACGCGATACGGTGGACCGTCCCACCCGCAGGGAAGGAGAAAAAAAAAAAGACAGCGATGCGCTGATGCGATCTAAGGGTGCAAAATCCCGAGTGGATTCGCTCGAGTACCATTAGGGTACTGGTACCGGCAAGCGTGACTTGATTGGTGAATGTATGTGTGTTTTTTTTGCCCTTTTCCTTCTCCTGCTTGCTTACGTTGTGTCGGGTGCTTTGAGCTTTGATTAACGGCGGTGGTGGCGGGAGTGCTGGTACGGTATGGTGCTCGCCGAGGAGGTATCATAGAAGAAGGGGGGGGTTTTCTATCATTCTGTACGACGGACGGGGGCTCTGGTTTTCATCGTGATCCGCCATTCGACTACTTGTCACCGGTATTGTGTGCACCACCGATTTTTTGGTGCTCCTTCGGAGGCTTCGTCCTGCGGGCCTTCTATTTGGTTTTTTTCTTCTTGGTTTTCTCTCCCTCTCTTTTCCTTCTCTCCCCGCGGCGGGAGTAACTTTGGGCCGGAACAGCAATAATCGCCCCCCTCCCTGCACTCTCTCCGGACGTGATGAGTTATCGGCACTTGGAATGGAAAAAGCCCCCAAAGGTACAAGTACCTGGTATACCGGTAGACCTGCATCGTGGGAAAGGGTGGTGTAGAATTAACCCAAATTGCCCAGTTCGCCTGGGCCTTTCTGTACTGCAAGGTGATGTCCCTGCTGGGGGATGTAGTAGTACTGTACGAGTACCGGTACTGGTACTTGCGAACCGCGGAATTCCAGAGTGTGGAGGTGGGGAAGGAGGGAAGGATCGCCCCCAAGTTAGATTCCTGCTTGGGGATCCCTTTATTCCTTTTGGGGTTCACCTTTGACCGTTTAGAGAAAGGTTAAGCAGGTCTGATGTGTTTCCCTACAAGTAGATTCTCGGGGAGATACAAGTTTTTACTGTGGCACGCTGTTTGGTGGAGCGCTATTGTCCACGGTGGAGGAGATACGAGCAGATGGAGGTGGAAAGGTTGTGCGCTGGTTGATCGAGGATGCCTGTTTGTAGGTCCGAGTACAGTACTGTACAGCACTGCACGGTCTACCATGGTCTGTCATGGTCTGTTCTACCGGTTGTCGTACCGCACAGTGCGGACAGTGGTTTACCGTGATTCTTCTCCCGTGATCCCTCTGGTCTCCCGAGTGCGTGATTCGTCCTTCCGGAGCCTTACCGTGCGTGTTTTGCTCCTTTGTCTGGCTTGCACGCCGTCCCTAAGTTACGGTACGGATACTGGGAATGGGGGGAGGACCTGTATGGCGTCTGTCCTCTCTCGTTCCAGCTTTTTCTCCTTCTCCCTTCTCCCTCTTCCCGGTCCGCCTGGATTTTGGCTAGTGAGGGTCTTCACGTGGTATGCCCAATGTGTTTCTCTCACCCTTCAAGGCTTTAAATACCGAAATATTTCCATCATCACAATAATAATTATATTATCATATCATTATCATACCCTGAAGCGACAAATAATTTTTTTTGCCTTTTTTTCCCTTTCTTCTCCTTTCCTTCCCTTTCCCACCCCTCCCCCTCCCTTCGGTATCTTTTATAGCGTGATAGGCAATATTTGGAAATGGTTCCCTTGTATTAGACCTTCCCTCGCCTCGTTTCGAAACAACCTTCCCTTTCCCACCCTTCTCCCTTGCCAACCTGGAGCTCTCGCTCTCACCCTCCGACCCCAAGACCTCAATCCCACGCGGGCGGCCCTGGGCGGAGAAGGAACAAGGGACTTGACAGCTACCATTATCCTGTTTGGAAACTCGAGCTGCTCTTCCCCGCAAAATCCTTTTTATTATTATTGCTATTATTTCTGTCAAGTTTGCTTGCACTGATCCCACCTTGGGGGGGTTTTTCCTTTTCCTTTTTTCCTATCTTTTTTTTTTTTTTTTTTTGTTCTTCTTCTATCGGG